TTTTTTTTTATTTATTTTTTTTTTTTATAGAGGCATGTTTATTTATTTATTTATTTTTTTTTTTTTACATCAGAAGCGCATTTATTTATTATTTATCTGTTTGTTTGTTTGTTTTTGTTTATACAAGCACTGGGTACAGTCAGAAGCGCGGGAGGGTGAGAGAATTCACCAGAGCCAGAGCGGGGAGCAGAGCAGGCAGAAGGACCGAAGTACACTGCTGAGGGGAGCAGCGGGCGGCAGGAGAGGTCTGCGCGCCATGTGGGACCCTCCTCCGGTGGCCGGGGAGCAGCCGGGGATTGAACCAGCGCCGCAGAGGCCGCGGGCAGGTTCGCAACCCAGCGCTCAACCGCTGCGCCACTGGGGAGGCCCTGTAAAGTGATTTTTAAATTCAACAATTTTGTTAAGTTCTCTGATTAATACTAATAAAGAATCTGGAGAATTTTTTTCTACACAAAATCTGAAAATATTGTTTCTTTCTAATTCTTTTTTTTTAACATTATTTATTTTTATTTATTTATACAAGCACAGGGTACAGTGAGAAGCGCGGGAGGGTGAGAGAATTCACCAGAGCCAGAGCGGGGAGCAGAGCAGGCAGAAGGACCGAAGTACACTGCTGAGGGGAGCAGCGGGCGGCAGGAGAGGTCTGCGCGCCATGTGGGACCCTCCTCCGGTGGCCGGGGAGCAGCCGGGGATCGAACTGGCGCTGCAGAGGCTGCGGGCAGCTTCGCAACCCAGCGCTCAACTGCTGCGCCACCGGGGAGGCCCCCTTTCTAATTCTTTTACCATCATTTCATATTATTTTCCTACTGTCTAGAGCAGCACAGTCTGAGAGAAATCTATTTTGTCATAAATGCCAGCCTCCTGTGTCATTTGAAATTTTCTCAACACCACATTAAAAAAATTAAAAGCAGGTGAAATGAATTCTTATGTCATGTAATCCAACATACCAAAAATATTGTTTGAATATGTAATCTATATAAACTTATTGAGATATTTTACGTCCGGGGGTACTAAGTCTTTAGAATCCAATGTGCATTTAATTTTGCTATTCCATTTCAGTTCAAACTAGCCAGTTTCACGTTCTCAGCAGCTGTAGACGACCAGGGGCTACTGGTTGGGTAATGAAGGACGAGGGTACCCAGGGCAAGAGCTAATGGACAGGGGGATTGCGTCTTCGACTTGTGACCCGTCTCAAGGGGGGTATTTTCAACATTTCCCCCTTAATTAGGCTATTTGCTGTAAGTTCTCTACCAGGATAAAGACATTCCTTTGTCTTCCAAATTTGCTACAAATTTTCAAACATAAAATGATGTTGCCCTTTTCTTGCATTGTCATGTTTCTATATTGCCAGATTTTGGTTCCCTAATATTTTGTTTAGGATTTTTCCATCCATATTCATAGTGACAGTGGCCTATAATTTTCTTTTTTGTATTGTGCTTTTCACAAAAAGAATTGGGACATATTCCCTCTTCTGTTATGTGGAAAAGTTGGGGTAAGACTGGAATTCTTTCTTTTTGAAATAAACCAGAGGGGAAGCCCTACGGGCCTGAGTTCTCTTTGTTACGTTACTGATGATTAAATTTCTCGAATGATTTGGGGGAGGTCTGATGTTCACCCGGTGCCACAGAACAGTCTTACTGCTGGAAGTAGTTGTACACCAGTTGGTACGTTGCTAGGGCTCCCAACCGAAGTTAGAAACCCTCCCTCCCCTCCGTGGCGCCCTGGATGCCCTAGACCCTCTGATGGCTTGTGGATAAGGTCTGGACAGCCAGGAGCTTCTCTCACTTTTGTGCCCGTGCGACCTCCGGTGACCAATCACTGCTCAGCAGCGCCTGGTGGTCAACATTTTGGTGCCAAGACCAGAGATGGCACTCAGTCGGGTTTTCTCCTGAGTCAGTTTTCGTTTTTTTTCTTAAAGATTTATTAATTTAGGCATACAAGAACTGGGGTGCAGGCCAGAGGTGCGGGGCTGGAGGTGAGAGGATTCAACAGAGACAGAGTGAAGAGAAGAACAGGTGGATCTATTGAAACACACCGCTGAGGGGAGCAGCGGGGAGACAGGAGAGGTCTGCTGAGCCATGGGGGTCAGCTCCCTGCCGGGGGATCCAACTCACAGTGGCTGGGATGTAGTGATACAGCACTTGATAGTGTTGAGACTTTAACTCCTGAGCCACCAGGGAGGCCCCTGAGTCAGTTTTGATGTTATCTTTTTCTAGGAATTTTCCCATTTCATTAAAAATTTTAAGCTATTTAATGCAGTTATGAATAATATCTTTTATATTTCCTTCATGTTTCCTGACACCTGAGCGTTTCACTCCTGATACGGGCTAGTCATGCCTTCTCCCTCTCTTTTTTCTTGATCTGTTTCTCCAGCGGGCTGTCAATACCTAAGTCTTTACATAAAAATTACTTCTAGTTGTTCTGATCCTATTTCATTACTTTTTGCTCCTACCTTTATTCTATCTTTCTTTTTGTTTTGTTTTGTTTTGTTTTGTTTTTGTCTATTTTACTCTTCCTTTTCTAGCTTCTGAGATGAGGACTTATTTCTTTTAGTCTTTTCTCTTTTCTCATAGAAGCAGTAAAGGTCACAAACCTCGCTTTAAGTCATGTTTTAACTAATTCTGCAATTTTTAAGTACATATTTCCATTCTCATTCCGTTAAAAATGGTATCATTTTCATTAAGATTTATTTTATGATTCATCAGTTATTTAGAAACATACTTCACAATTTCCAAACAAATGGTACTTTTGAAGTTATCTTTTTGTTATTGATCTCTGGCTGCTTTATGTTGTGGTCAGACTTGCGATCAACTGGTTTTGAAAATATTCTGTATGTCCTGAAAAGAGAGTATTCTGTGGTTGTAGCTGTAGTGTTCGATAAAATTTCGTTAGTCGAGTGTCTTCACAGTAACATTTTTTAATACATTTCTGCTTTTTTTACCGATTGTAGGAGATGCTTGAAAATCTCCCACTGTGACTGGATTGGTCTGTTTTTCTGTGTGGTCCTCTCCTCCAAGTTCCTTCTGTTGTAAGATGATGGTCTACACATACAGTTTGGAAATTTTTTTTTCTGGTGAATTGGACTATTTTCATGATGAAGTGACCTTCTTTATCCCTCGTGATGCTTTTTCCCTGATATTAAGATAATTGCACCGGCTTCCTTGTGTAAGCCTTTGCACTGCAGCTTTCTCTCACACTTACTTCCCCCCTTTCGGTCTGTTTATATTTTGGAAGTATCTCTTGTAGAGTCTCCCTGACAAATTGTCTATATGATCGTTGTATTTTACCCAGTCTGATCATCGTTGTATTGTAGCTACAGTATTTAATCCGGTTGCATTATGTTTATTGAATTATAATACATTTGCCTTTAGATCTGTCATCTATGTGTCCCATCTGTCTTGTGTTTATTTTTCTCTCCATTTTTACTGGCTTTAGTGTTGAGTTGATTTTTCTCATTCTAATCCCCCCTTCTAATAACTGGGGTAAATATGGTGCAGGGCATTTCCATTCTTGTAGTGCTGACCTGGTAATGACAACTCGCCATGAACGCATCCAAGTTCAAGTGTATTTAGTATCTATCTGGACTTTCCCCGGAAGAATGTAAGGATCTTGGAAAGTTTTCAGTCCTCCCAGTCATGCTATCCCTTTGTTGTGTGTTTTAATTCTATTTTTATCCAGAAGACCTTGTTATTGTTTTATAATTATCCATGTTCTTCATTGTTCTTGACTCCTATCACATCTGCTCTGTCCGTGACATCTTCCTCCCGCCTCAAGTTCCTTTTGCTGGAATTTCCTTTAGGGAGTGTCTTTTAGCGGCAAAGTTTTGTTGTCTTTTTTTATAAAGAAATGCTATTATTTCACCCTTATCTTTTTAAAAATAAATGCTATTATTTCACCCTTATCCCGGGAGGATATGTGCACTGAGCACATCATTCTTGAAGGAACTTTTCACCGGGTCTGCGCCGCTGAGATAATGGCGGCTTTCCCCCGGGACACCGGGCGTCTCATCCCCCGCTCTCGCCGTCGGGCCTGATAAAAACCCAAGTGTGAATCCGGCATTTACTGCTCCTGTGCGCGCCCGCCAGGCGCCCGGGCTCCGCTGGGGGACAGCGCGCACAGGGAGGCTTTGAAGCCCCGGGTGGCCCGGCGGGCTCTGCCGCCGACGGGGCGGCCCCGGGTCGGGGCGAGGGAGCAGCGGCCCGGGGGTGGGGGAGCCGGAGGGGTGCCGAGGGGGTGCCGGGGGGTGCCGGGCGCGGGACTGGGGGCGGGCGCAGAGGCGCTGGGAGCGCGAGGGGCGCCGCCGAACCCGGATTCCAGGCAGTACGAATGGGGGCGCCGCGGGAACGAGCCGGGGTCCGGGCGAGGGGGGACTCGCGCTCCCCTCGCGGCCGGGTCTCCCCACCGCCCGCCGCGGCCCGCGCCCGCGTGAGGTGTCGGGGCGGCGGCCCCGCGCGCCCCGCCCGTCCAGGCGCGCCCCAGCGCCCGGGGAGCCGGCGCGGCTGCTGACCGCGGGGACGGCGGGGCGCGGGGCGCCCGCTCAGACCCGCCGAGCCACGCGGCCCCGGGGCGCGGGTCGGGGGGAGCGCGGCCCCGAGACGCCCCGACAGGTGGGGGCCCCGGGCCGTGCCGCCGCCCGGGCCAGGCCAGGCCCGGCCGCTTCCGGCCCGCCCGCCGCGCCGGGACCCGAGGGACGCGCCGCCGGCCTCGGGATCCCGCGCCGCGCCGGGGGCGGGGCCTCCGCGGGGCGGGGCCGAGGGGCGGGGCGCGCGAGCCCCCGCCCCGCCCCCGCCCGCGCGCCCGCTCGCTCGCGCCGAGGAAAACGTTGCGCAGGTTCAAAAATGGAACGTCGGTGGCGTGAGGGAGCGCGAGGGGGTGTGCGCGCGTGCGCGTGCGCGTGCGCGTGCGCGCCCGGGCGAGGGTGACGGGGTCCCGGCCGGCCCGAGCCTCGCGCGCCGCAGCCGCGGCCCCGCAGCTCCGCCCCCGGCCCGGCCCGGCTCGGCCCGGGCCCGCCGCCCGCGCCCCGCATGGAGCTGTCAGCCATCGGCGAGCAGGTGTTCGCCGTGGAGAGCATCCGGAAGAAGCGCGTGCGGAAGGTGAGGCGGCCGGGGCGGCCCGGGACCCCCGGGCCCCCCGCGCCCCGCACCCGCGGCCCCCCGCGCCGGGCAGGGAGGGGGCGGCCCGGGCGGCCGCGCGCGGCGGGCGCGTCTCCCCCGCGCGCCTCAGTTTCCCCCCGCCGCTCCGGCTGCGGCGCTGAAGTTGTGGCCGGGAGGGGGCGGCGAGCCGGGCGCGGGGAGACTGAGCCCCCGCGCCCCCGCGCCCCCGCGCCCGCCCCCCAGCCTGAGCGGCCGGGCCCGCGGGGACGGCGGCCGCGTGCGTCGCGCCGGCGCCGGGTCTCGAACTCGGGGCGCGGGCCTGTCGGCACCAAGTCCCGAGAAGTTGGAGGCGGAGCTCTGGGCCGGCCCCGGCGCGCGGGGCTCCCCGCGGGACCCCGGCCTCCGCGGCCCGCCGCACCCCGCCTCCACGTTCCTCCCGGGTCGGACGCGCACCCCTCGGTCTTCCCCACCCCAACTTCCAGCCCCGCCCCAACGGGCTCGGCGAAGCCGCCTCCATCGCCGGGGCGTCCTCGAGGCCCCGCCCCCGGCGCCCGCGCCGTCCACACGCCCCACCGTGGCCGGGGCGGGGGCTGCCGGCGGGGGCGCCGCGGGGCCCGGGCCGCTTCCTGCCCGGGACGGGTCGGGGGCAGCCCCGGGGGAGGCGCCCGCGCCGGCCGCGCCGCCTCCCTCCCCGCCGCTCCGCGGCTGGCGGCGGCCCCGGGGCGGCCCCGGCCCCCGGGCTGCCAGAGGGGCCGAGGTCGCAGCTCCGCCCGACGGGCCCGAGACCCAGACCCGGCGGGAGGCGGCGGTCAAGGTCGCCGGCGAGGGCCAGAGGGAGCGACCCCGGCGCCGGCGCCCCTCGGGGAAGCGCGGCCCGGCCGGGCGAGGGTGCGGGGCCGCGCTCCCCTCCCGGCCTCGTGTCCTCGGGGCGGGCGCCCTCCCGCGCCCCGGCGCTCCTGGGTGTTCACTGGTCTCGGCAGCCCAGTCCCCGGCGCGGGCCGGTGAGCGGCTCCCTCTGGCCACTCGCGCCGGCCGCGCCTGTGAGAGGCTGTTTTGTGCCCGCCGTCCCTCGGGGCGGCCTCCCGGGGATAGGGGGGCTCCCTCCTGATGGCGTGTGGGGAGGCCCGCGAGGTGGGAGGGAGCTGGCGCCCGGGCCGGCCTCCATGAGGAGGAGACAGATTTGGTCTTAAAGTTCGGGTGAGACAGGATTTCAACCTGGGGTTGGGGGTCACAGGATGCCCTTGTCAGCTGCGAAGGGGGCGCTGCAGAGGAGGGGCCGCCCCTTCTGAAGGTCAGACTTTGCCCGCCTCCTCCGCGGTCCTGCCCCGGCCTCTGAGAGTCCTGAGGCAGTTCATGGCCGGGCCTGAGCGGCTACTTGCTAGGATGGGGCTGGCGGGGTTAGGGCCACGGGGCACCCCTCCGGGAGCAGTGGGCCTCGGGCTCCTGTACTTCCCCATGTGTGCCCTGCATGCCCAGCTTCTGCCAAGGAGCCCCAGAGGTGTTTGGGGCCAGGTGCATTTCTGCATTCTAGGGGTATGCAGCAGCCAAGCTTTGGGCAGATCTGATGGGGCCAGGGGTGGCCCCCTGAATATGTGGGGAAGTTTGTCTGCAGGGGGGAGAGGGCCACATGGCCCGCCAGGCTTGTCAGGGCAACTGTGTCTCACCGGGTCTGCTTTTCTCTTCCCAGGGCAAAGTCGAGTATCTGGTGAAGTGGAAGGGATGGCCCCCCAAGTAAGGCTTCTTTGTGTGTCTGTCTGCCCGCCCCGCCACCTGCCTCTTGCCCTCTTTCCTGCCCAGCTTTTAGCTCCAGCTGCTCTAACAGATAGTGCATCTCGAGTAAATCAACCTCTGAGGCTCAGTTTCCCGCCTGCCAGTGGAGGGGCTCGGGCTCATGAGGGTGGAGGTGGGCCCCAGCTTCTCTCCTCACCTGGACCCTCAGTGTTGAGCTCTGTCTTCTGCTTGGCGCCTCCCCTCGCCAATTCCTAGCTTGTCTTGGCACCGGAAGGTGAAGGCCCAACATCTTGGTCCACAGATAGCTGCTGGCCAGGGGGAGGGGCCCCAAGCTACAGCAGGTACGGTACAGGTTTGGGCTTGTGGGGCTGGGCAAGGGAAGCGGAGCCGAGTCCTGGTGCCACAGGGGCCACCTTGCCTGGGACAGCACTCTCCAGTCTGAGGAGCAGGTTCCCCGACAGCCTTGGGAGGCAGGTGCGGTCCTGACCTCTAAAGATGAGGAAATAGGTGCGGAGAAGGGAAGCAGCTTGCCTTAGGTCACACTGCAAGTGGAGGCAGAGCTGGGGCTTGAGTTAGGCCTCCCCAATCCAGGTGCCTCCTGTGCCTCCTCCATCTCCTAGTGTGGGAGGCAGGGAGCTGGGTCCCAGACCTCTCCCAGATGCTCCACCTCTCCTGCTGAGACCCAATCGGTAACCTTCCCACCCACCAATCACCTCCCATTAGGGAGCTGTGGGGAGGGAGGGAAAGAGCAAGTCGTGGGGCCTTCCTATTGGTCTGTGGGTGTCCCACCCCCTCCCCTGCCTTCTAGAGACTGGCTTCTGGAAACCCCCTCTGCCCCGGCCACTACTGTCTTTACCAGGGTGAAGCTCCTCCTGGGCTGGTGTTGGGGTCCACCTAGTATCCCATCCTGGGAGCATCTCTGGGGTCCTGGTGGGGAGAGAGCAGTGAGGATGAGTGCCTGTGATGCCCCAGCTTCCCTCTGCGCGAAACGGGTTCAGGAGTCTAGACCCTGCTCACCTCTCTCTGGCCCCTTCACCTGTGGAGGGGAAGACCTTGGGTGTGTGTGCAGGGTGACCCACGGGCATCCTGATCACTAGCGATGGTGCTGGCCGGGCAGCTAATGCATGTCCTCTCCTGCTGCTGCTCCCCAAACACCCTGGACAGAAGGCAGAGCCCCACCTCCCCTGGGCAGATGAGAGGGGACTTCCTGTCCAGGTGAAGGGGTGGTGAGAGGAAGAGAGCTAGAGAAGGCAGATGCCCAGAGAGGGCAGCAGGAGCACTGGCACCTGGGTACTCACTCCACCCCCATGCTGGAGTGTGGTCACCAGCCTGTTGGCCCTCAGTGCAGCGCTGGCTGTTTTCCCCCTCTGTAGATGCCATCTTTGGAAAGATTTGCTTCTCTAAACAGATGTACTTATCAACGAAAAGCTCCTTCTCCCACTTTGATTAATCCCGAGTGCGCCTATGTGCCTACCAGTCAGGAGGGGGGACCCTGTGTTCCAGGAGCAGTCCCTGGGTGCTTCAGCTGGCCCAAGTGCCCCCCACCCCATACTGAGACCACCAAATGGCACCTCCTGACTGTTGGTTCTAGGAACCCTGTTTGACCAGATGATCTGGAGCACCTCTGGCTCTGCCACTCTTTGACCCTGGTCCAGTTGCCCAATTGGCAGCTGTGAGCCCTTTGGCAGGTCCCCAACATGGTGGGGCCCCTGTTGCCTCACCTTCAAATTGGAATAAGAAATCCTCCATGGCGGTGTTGTGGAGATGAGATGTCGGCTGTGAAGGGCCTGGTGCGAGTTTGTCAATAATACAAAGTCAGACAACTTGGCTTCTGGGCCCCTAGCTCTGCCTCCAAGTCAGGAGAGGGCTGGGGGATTCCATTTCTCACTGGAGTTCCAAGGAGCCTTAAAATCATTTAGCTAGGGCCTCACATTTTTCCCATAGGGAAACTGAGGCCCAGAATGGGGAGGTCATTGCAAGAATATAACTGCCAGCATCGTGCAGTGTGGTACCCACTTCAAGCCAGCCGCTGTTCCCCTCAGCTTCCCTAGGGGTTGTGGGGGGAGCTTGAGTACCATGTGCCTCCCTGCAGACCTAGCAGCCATGGCTAGGGCAGTGCCAACCTCTGTGGGGAGGGGAGCAGATTCTTCTGCTCAGTCTGGGCAGGGAGACATCTTAGTAACAGAAACTGTGATTTAAACACATGATCTGTGCCAGACCCGTTAAGCCTTCACATGTTTTGTCTATTTTCTGACCCCAACAACAAATGACTCTCCTTCCTTCCCAGCAGATGGGGCAGAGGACCTATCTTGATTAAGCTGGAAGGCTCAGCAAGTGGCACAGGGAGGACTTTGGTGCAGGTAGCGGAGGATAAGTCCTCATCTACAGGTGCTCTCAGCCACCGGGGACCCTCGGATACCCCACTCTCAGTGCAACTGCCCGAGATTGCTGTTGCCCCTTTGCCAATGCCTTCTTTCCTGCCTTGCCACTTGGGAATGCAGCCCTGTCTTTTAGGGAGGAGAGCCTCCATGGATCGTTAGTGAGGATATTGTTAGTGGGTACAGCAATCGCCAGGTTTGCCAAGGAGTCTGCCGCTGTTGTTACCGGGCATTGGCCCATTTTACAGATGGAGACACACACCCTCGGCAGAGGAGTCTTGCCCAGGGCACGGTGCTAGGCCCGTGTGAACTACTGGCTGCGGGACCCCAGGGCCGGGCCTAGCCCCTGGGATGCACGGCTAGATCCACCAAAGCTGACCAAGGATCCCTTGTATGTTGGCCTTTTCATGCGCCCAGGAGGGCGCGCTCAGGCTGTGCGACTGGGGCAAAGCCTTGGGCCCCTCCGCACCTCCCTTTCCCCACCTGGAAAAGGAGGCCTAGTCTCACCTGCCCTGCAAAAGGCTGCTTTTTGCCACGCGCCAGGGGCAGAGGCGGCGCTGTGGCCTCCAGGACAGGCTGGGCAGCGGGGCTGCCAGGCCGGGGCTCGTCCCTGGTGGGTGTTCGCGTTCTTCTTTGTTTTGAAGTTGATTGAACGAGCGCGTATTTGCTGTTAGTGTGTTTCAACCCTGACCTAAGTGTTTCGGGGGCCGAACGCATCCGATCTGATCTGCACCCTAAAGACGGGCTGTCGGGGGACCCCACTCACGGCTAGAGCCGCAGGCCCCGGGGGCGCGCCCCGAGCTCGCTTCATCCTGGCGGCTGCGAAGGGACAGGGTCGGGGCGGCCCAGGTGCCAGGCGGGCGGGGCGGCCCGTTTGCGGGCGCGGGGGCGGGGCGGCGGGTCACGTGGCCGTGTTTACTCCGGAGCCGCCGCCCCGCCCCGCCCGCCCCCGCCCCGCCCCCGCCCGCCATTGGCCGCGGGGCTGCGACGCCCGGTGCCCCTGCGCGTGCTGGGCCCGCCCGGGCGGTGGGGAGATCCAGCCCCCCATCTGCCCACTCTGCGGACGGCACTCTGCCTCCAGGCCAGGTCCGCCCGCGGCCCGCGGCCCCGACCGGCCCGGCCTGGCAGCAGGACCCGGCCACACCGCAGCCCCGTGGGGACCCAAATGTGGGTCACATCGGGGCCCGAAAATAGCGGGTGCCGTTCCGCTGAGTCCCGGCCGCAGACCTGCCGCTCGCCGCCTCCGCGACCCGGGCACAGGGCCTGCCTCCTGGGCCGCAGTTTCTTCCTCTCTAAAACTGGGGGGGGGACCCTGCCTCATAAGGGTGTTCTGGGGGCTGGATGAGGCCCCGGCGGCCGTGGTGTCCCCGCACCTTGCAGTCAGTGGGTGTGAGGGTGAGTGCTAGTAAACAAATTGGGGTCCAGAGGCGGCTCGGGGCTTGCCGGCAACCACACGGCGGCTGCCTCAACAACAAGCAGGTGGGGTGGGGAGGATTAGGACACTGGAGAAAGCAGGCATGGGGGGACTCAGCTCCCCCTTTCTGCACTAGTTAAGTTTACAAAATTCACACCTGGTGGGGGGCGGGGGGAGTCTGCCAGCATCTGGTTACTTGTAGTTTGGACATTTCCCAAACTATAAAAATTCCATTTTCACTTTCAGCATTTCTTCAGGTGAGCAGGACTGTGCAGCGGCTCCTACGGCCATTCCCCAGAGCACCAGCACCCAGCGTGGCTGGGCTGGGGCAGGTGACCCTTGCCAGGCTGAGTCCAGCTGGGCTTGAGTAATCAGGGCAGGTGCCGCAGCCGGTAGGGGGCAGTAGGGAGAGTTGGTTTTGCCACCAAGGGGCAGTTCAGGAAAACTACTGGGACCTGGCTCTTAAGGAGTAGGAGGGCCCTGCTGGGTCTGGCCTTCCAGGGGAGAGTGTGGCATGTACCACTCAGGCCGGGCATGAGGCGTGCAGTGCGGGCCTTCATCATGGAGTCCACAGAGCCTGACCCCAGACTGTACTGAGTACACGTGTGGAAAATGTCAGTGGAGAGGAGGAGAGGGTTCTGTCCTGGGGTGCTTGTTGCCCCAGTGTTGGGTATCACCGTGTCCCGAGGGTTTAGCTCAGCAGTCAGGAGGCAGCTGGGGCTCCCCTTGGCCACTTTTCACTCCTAACAGCTCCCTCTTACCCAGCAGAGCTGGGCAGCAGCTTAGCCAGTGTCCTAGACCAGTGGTCTGGTTTTGTGTGTGTGTTTGCATTACACATGTGCACACATGTAGGTATGTATATGGTAGTGGATATTGTGTGTTGTGTGCATACATATAGATGCACATACACATGAAAGTATTTTAGACCTTAGTTTATGGTGAGTGACACTGGTTTTTCCATATATGGAAGTCATAATGCTGGCTTTTAAAATAAGAGTCATTAGGGGGCCTCCCCGGTGGCGCAGCAGTTGAGCGCTGGGTTGCGAAGCTGCCCGCGGCCTCTGCGGCGCCGGTTCGATCCCCGGCTGCTTCCCGGCCACTGGAGGAGGGTCCCGCATGGCGCGCAGACCTCTCCTGCCGCCCGCTGCTCCCCTCAGCAGTGTGCTTCGGTCCTTCTGCCTGCTCTGCTCCCCGCTCTGGCTCTGGTGGGTTCTCTCACCCTCCCGCGCTTCTGACTGTACCCAGTGCATGTATAAACAAACAAACAAACAAAGAAAGAAAGAAAACATGCCTCTATTAAAAAAAAAAAAAAGATTCATTAGGGACTCCCTGGTGGCACCAGGGGTTAAGTCTCAGCATTGTCAAGCTATTGCCAGCCACTGCCTTTTAGCCAGGGAGGTGACCCACAGGGCGCAGCAGACCTCGCCTGACTCACCCGCTGCTCCCCTCAGCAGTGTATTTCAGTAGATCTGCCTGTTCTGCTCCCTACTCTGTCTCTGGTGAATCCTCCCACCCCCCCACCCTGCACCTCTGGCCTACACCCCAGTTCTTGTATGCATAAATAAATAAACCTTTAATAAATAATAAGATTAGTTTAACAAAAAAGGTGAGTTGCTTTAAGGCAGATATTAACAGCATCTGGAGGGTGGCCGCGCTGTCACTTCCCGGGCAGAGGATGCTCTGTGGTCTAGGAGTGCGGGGAAATCCCTGCGGAGATCCCAAGAGCTTCTGCTGGAGGTTCCCCCGCCCCATGCGGTCACTAGCAGTTACAAGATTCCTGCTGCGTGCCAGGCCCAGACACAGGGCCCTTCAGACCTGGTCATGATGGCCCAGATGTGCACCCGGGAGGGGGGGAAGGGGGGCTGCGCAGGCCATGCTGGTAAGCAGCACAGACCCGGGCGCTGTCTGCCGGGCAACGCTCTGTGCGCCCGGCCACATGAGCCGTGTCATCAGCGGGGGCGTCCTTCGCAGGTGGGGAAAGTGAAGCATTTCACAGTGAAATTGTCCAGGTTTGCACAGCCAGCGAGGGCACAGCGGGGTTTGAATCCAGACAGGGCTCTAGAGCCCCAGCCCTGTGCCACGTGTTCTTTCCTCTCATTGGAAGGGAATCCTGGGATTTTCGGGGCCTGCCCTCTTCCCTGGCACCCCGTACTTCTGAGGTGACCTTGGGGCCTAGTGGAGAGCTGTGCACTGGGGACCTCAGGCCATCTCTCCCTGAGGAAAGAACTCAGCATTGAGACCAGAGCTCAGCGGAAAAGCGACACTGATTGTCAGATAAGGAGGAGGACAGGAGGCTCTGAGCAGAGGGCTCCCTGAGGGGTTTCCCGGGAGTTCAAATGGGTTTGGTGGCCACGAGCGGGGTCTGCGCGTTGGGTGTCTCGGCATGTGTCTTGCTGACGGATGGAGGCCCGTGGGGTCTCCCAGGTTACTGGGTCCACTGAGTCTCCCGCATTACTTGGCTGCTTTCCCAGAAGGAGTTTGGTCTTAGGAGCTTAGGGCACTGGGCTTGGGGTGCCCTGAACCTGTACCCAATTCCTTACATCCTCATTCAGATGGATATGGTCGCGTATAGGGTGGAGTGGTCAGTGCTCAGAATGAGGGGAGTTCCGGCAGTGTCCCTGCCCTCGCCTGGGCACCCAAGGGTGGCTTCTGGGATTAAAGCCAGGACTGGGAAGGGGCAGAGGCCTGCAGGAGTAGGCCTGGCGTCTCTGGGGGCCTGGACTGTGGGGCGGGGCTCAGGGCGACTCTGACCTCATTTCTCTTCCCAGGTACAGCACGTGGGAGCCAGAGGAGCACATCCTGGACCCCCGCCTGGTCATGGCCTATGAGGAGAAGTAAGGGGGCTTGGGGCTGAGCTTGGCGTAGGGGGTCTGGCGGGGACGGCCCCGCCGAGTGTCGCTGGCTGGTGAGGGCCCTTCCCTGGCCTTCCTTGGCCTCCGTCTCCGCTGTAAGAGGGGCGGCCTCTACCAGCTGCTGCGCCTCCCCCGGAGGTGGGCCTCTGTTTCGGTGGAGATGGAGAGCTGCTCACGTCGGCGTCCTGGTGCGAGGGCAGCCCTCTCAGTGATGCCCGGTCCTGGCCTTGGTGTCGGGTCAGAGACCTTCTCCCTGGAGAGTCTGTCACCAAGAGGAGGAGAGTCTGAGGCAGCTTGAGACCGAGCGGGCGGGAAGCGGTCTTCTGAGTCTGGTCTGCCCCCCTCGGCCATCGCCCAGCTCCTGGCTGAGCAGACCCCGCCCCACTCCACTGCGGGTCAGCGCCCACATCTGCCGGGGCTCTGCTGGGGCTCCCCCAGGCTCCCCTGGTTGGTTAGTGAGTGGCAGCTCCACCCCATGGCCTGTAAGGGGCACACCTTAGTGGGGAGCCTTTGACCAAAAAAAAACAAACATCTCGACCGCTGTGGGGCTGCTCCCCTCTGCTGCGGGAGCCCAGGCCGCACTGACCTCTGCCAGCCGCCCCCTCCGCGTGGCCACCCTGTGCAGTACCGGGCATTTTGTCAAAAGGGTTTACCTACCCGCTGGCGGCAGCCTCCTGCGGCGGGGGAGGGTCTCTTTGACAGGTGAGGAGAGGAAGCTTGGAAGGCAAAGGGCGCCTCCCGGGACCTCCTGGGAGGAACTGGCTGGCCAGGACTTGCCTGGGGCTTCTCCCCTCGTTTTCCTGCCTGTCCCTTTCTGCTCCTCACCCCTCCTCCCCCAGGAGTTTCCTGCTGCTGAGCCAAGTCCAGGTTCCCACTGTCATTTCTTTCACATCCCGGTGTCCCTGCCCCTCGGCTGCTTTCTGGGGTTCCAGTGCTTGGCGGGGCCTGAATCCAGGAGGGTGGTGGCACTGGGGAGAGGCCTGCGGCGTGCCAGGCCACAGAGGCTTGGGTTGGAATCCTGGCCCTCCGCTCACCAGCAGTGAGATGTGGGGCGATGCCCTTCCCCTCTCAGAACCTGTTTCCCTGTCTGAAATGGGGCGGCAGTGCCGCCCTCCCAGCGCTCCCCTGGGCAGCGGGGGTGAGGGAAACACTGCGAACCAGTGACGCGGGCACCGCGTGGGCGGGGTCAGCTCGGGCATCCTTCCATCAGTTCTCTGAACCTTTGCTGAGACCCTAGCACGTGCCAGCCTCCATGCCGGCGCGGGGCCAGCGGCAGCCTCCCCTCCCGCGCTCGCGCTCCGGAGCAGAGACGGCGACAGGGACGGGCACACGACAGTCGCTGGTGCTCGGGGAGGCGACTGCAGCAAAGAGGGAGTGAGGGCGCGTGGGCTGCTGCTTTCCAGGGGGGCTTGGGTGGTGGTGACGGGAACCCTGGGTCAGTGAGGGCGAGAGCCCCTTGGGTGTCAGACAGCCGTGTGTGCAGGGCCTGGGCTAAGGAGCAGGGCAGGGCAGGGCTGCCTCTGTGGCTGGGCAGGTGGGAGCAGTGGGGGGAGAGCAAGGCAGCTGAAGGAATGGGGGTGCAGCCCACAGTCCCTGTGGAGCATTTGAGTGGGTCAGAGGAGCCGGTAGTTAAAGAACAGATGGGAGTTTGGAGACAGGCGGGAGCACCGCAGGCCTTTGCCCTCACCTTCTTAGACTTGGTGGGAAGGCTGCAGGGGTGACGTTCATTCTTACACCTGCTCTGCAGGGTTTTTCACAGGCCCAGGAGAGTGGGGCAAGGGCCGCTAATGGGGAGTCCTTGCTCACTGGGAGGGCTAGGGGGTGCAGAGGGCTTTCGTGGCCAAAACCCGAGGGGCCTTACCACCCTGCACAGTCAGTCACAAGCGAGGGCACGGGGCTGACAGAACCCAGGCCCCGGGTAGGAAAGGCTGGACGGAACGGAACCCCCCCACAGCCACTGTCCCCCCAGCACGCAGAGTAGGGCGCTGCAGACTGGAAGGCCGGCCTGCCCCTTGCGGGCCTGGCAGGCTCAGCATCTTCTCCGGTGGGGGACATTGTCCACAGTTTGGCTTAATGTCTCTGTGGCTCAGTTTCACAACTCTCAAGTGCAGACGGCGACAGCGTCTCCCTCTGGTCGCCTGTGAGGGCGAGGGCCGGGGCAGCACCTTGCGTCGGGCCCAGGCCGCGGCCGTGCTGCTGGGGCAGGTGGCTGGGGAGTGCGATAAACACGTCACTGGGCTGTTTCCTCCCAAAGCCCTTCCTTCCGCCTTCTACTCCTTCTTTACCTCTTTCACCTACTCCTCCCTCCCCCGCTGCGCTCTTCGGCCTCTTCCCCACTTGGACAAATACCAGGTACCTGTCTTGGCCCCCAGAGTGCCAGTGGTCAGCTGAGAGAAGCCTCTTGTTCCAGACAAGGAAACTGAGGCCCAAAGAGGGGAGGTGGCCCATCCAGGTCCCCCTGGGGTCGGGCACAGCAGACCTGGAGTGGGGTGTCCCATGGTCACAGGTATCACAGTGCCCCGGGTGCTCTTCCAGATGCTCCTTTCGACCTGCAGCGGGCCCTCTGCACCCTTGAACACCACGGTCCCTGGGGGCGCAGCAGCTGCCCCCGGAGGAGGGCCCCCAAAGGGTAGGTAAGGCTGAGCTGGGGCCGAGGCCTTGAACTAGGGAAGGGCAGGCCAAGCCCCTGGGCCTGTGCCCTCTGCTCAGGGGCTTTGCTCAGGGGCGTGCGGAGTGCAGTGAGAGGCGGGGGTGATGGGCCTGCTCACCTGGCACTGCTCTGCGTGTCTGTGGTGTCGTGTGCGGGCAGCACATGGCAAAGAGTAGGCACCCACTAGGCAGAGGCTAGTTTTTCTTTCCTTCCCAGAGGAGAGGGGGCTGCCCACTGGGCTCGTATCATCCCCGAGGGGGCGATCTGGGCAGTGCTGCTCTCCCAGGAGGACATGCGCATTCTTGGCAGGCCTCTGGCGCCTCCGTAGCCAACCTGGCCAATAGGTCTCTCCGCAAGTCTCCTGAGAGTAGAAGCTGGAGCTGCAGTGTTTTGGGGGTGTCCCAGTGTCAGGCAGAGAGCTCCAGTGTATGTCTGGAAATGCTGCCCGAGTCCCATCCCTGAGTCGGGACTGGCAGAGCGCCCTCCCTGGTGTCGGTTGCGGAGCCTGAAGCCCGGGAGCTGACACTTGACCACATTGTTATGGCCCAAAAAGAACAGTAGGGAGGAGCCCCTACCCCAGGAAGGGAGATGGCCTTGGAGGGTGTCCTCTCCCCCCCCAGACAGCAGAGGCTGGAGGAGAGGACACCTTATTTTCCCTTCAATGTCACCAGTGTTTCCTTTTCTTCTGCCATCTGCTCTGCACCTCAGGGAGGAGAAGGACCGAGCGTCGGGGTATAGGAAGAGAGGCCCGAAACCCAAGCGGCTTCTGCTGCAGGTAACCCCGCCAGCCTGGGTGCCGCCCGCAGGCCCCGCACTCCCCACAGCCTCTCCCCCACCCCGCGTTGGTGCTGGCTAGTGGCGCCTGCCCCCAACCCTCCCCAGACCCCCAGGGCACTCAGTGGGTAGAACTGGTGGGGAGGAGCAGGGGCTGTGGCTGGGGAGACAGCCTGGGGGGGAGGTGCCCTGGTGGGGGAGTCTATGTTGTGGAATCCTAGAATTTGAAAGTTTAAAATCTTGTAAGTCTTTCTGGTGCTCAGAGTCCCCAAGGCACAACGTTATGTTTGAGCCCCTTCTAAACATCCACTTTAGAACTGAGGTCATACGGGATTCTAGAATCCAAAACATGGAGACTTGCAGAATTCTGGAGTCACAGCCTTTACGTGCTCAAGAAATGTGGGGAGATGCCCGCAGGGCCACCTCACCCAGCTCCCTGCCTCATCCAGCACTCCTGGATCTTGGAGCGCTCTGCTGCCCTCGCTGGTGTGCAGCGAAGAGCAGGTGGAGTGTGACGTGAGCCGCGTCTCAGAGCTTCTCCGAGCTTGACTTCTCTGTAAGATCAGGGCGGTGCAGACGCCCGCTCTCCTGCCCTCAGCCAGGCCCACCTGTGTGTGTATAGCCCCAAACCAAGGCTTCTAGTCCATGGGCAGCGGGAGCCACGTCGAGCCTCCTGTCCACACTAGCCTGTAGATCACCTGGGGTTTTTGCCAGAGTAACAGGCCTTCCTCACGCCGCGACCGCGAGAACTGGGTCCCAGGGAGTTACACAGCCCGCCATGTCTGCTGCACGCTGCGCTCCGTGCTCGGTGCCCCTACAGGCCTGCACATCACCCGCACGCACCGCCTCGGGGAAGGTGTGTCAGTCACCTGCTGCTGAGGGGCAAGTGACCCCCAGCTAACTACCCACAGAGCGCAAGCCCCTGGCGCGGGGTTTGGTGGGTCTGCAGTTCCGAGTGTTCAGCTCTCCAGTGGCTCTGGTTCAGTCCTGGCCGTGGTGTGGGGGCTCCGCTCCTCTGGAGGTGGACGATCTGCTTCCAGGGCGGCCCCTTGTGAGCCTGGCGAGCCAGTGGGGTGTGGGCTGGAGGCCTGGCTCCTCACCACCGGCCCCTCTTTAGGGCTGCTGAGTGGCCTCCCGGGATGGCCACCGGCCTCCCCGCGAGCAGATCTGAGTGATAACAAGGAAGCAGCTCGGGGTCTGACCCCGTCTCGCCGTCTCACCCCCAGTGAGTGTGGGTGAGGACTCTCGGCAGCGCGTCCCGGGGGCCAGGACCAGACAGTGGTTCCCCCGCTTTCACTGACCGGGGAGGAGGCCTGTGGCTCGCCCAGAGTCACATAGCTGGGTTGACTCCTGGCGCTCCCAGGATCCCCATTAGTAGCTGAGGACAAAGACTAGTCCGCCACAGGATCGGACCAAAGCTCAGCGGCCTAGGGATGGCCTGTGAGCCCGGTGGGGGGACTGGGTTTTGTTAGGGTTGCGTATAAGGCCAGCCCTCCTCGATTTGGGTTGCCCACTCGCCCTGTTCTGCCTCCTCCCATCACCATGACAGTCGTTCCCCGTGCCAAGCGATGGGCCTTGGTGGTGGGTGTGGAGAAGGAGCCTTCACGAGTGACCTGCGGGTCTCCCTGGTGGCCGCTTTTGCCGGCGCTCTTGGCCTCTGGTGTCGGGGAGTGGAAGGAACCATCCCGGAGTGGTGTGGTCGCTCCCAGCCCTTAGCACCGAGGCTCTGTCTTGGATCTGTGTAAAGCCAGTAAGACAGAGCCCCAAATTAAAAACTCCAACCCGCAAATGGTGCAAGAATGCGTCCTCCTGCCCTATTCCAAGGAAGTGAGCCGGCTGCCGGGGCCGGAGGGCCTCTGCGGGCAGACTCGCGGGGCTCAGGCCGCGCGCCCTGGCTCTGTGCTCCCCTTGGTGGCTGGCCCCAGAAGCCTGGCCCCGCCGCCCACCATCCTGTGGCGAGCTGGCTGTTTGAAACCTGGGGTCCTTAGTAAAGATTCTTTATTACAAGGGGTGACTCCTGAATGGGTCAGCTCTGAAAGCCAGGTTTCTTTTCCCTTGGTCCATTTTCAGTTTGTCTGTCTTGTGCCCCCCTATTGTGTGTACCCAGGGGCTATGCCCTGCCGCCCTCTCCCCGCCACTTGCAGCCCCCCCTCCAGGGCAGATGCGGCTTCCTCGCCAAGACAGTGGCTGGGCAGGCGGGCTGGCAGCCCTCCGCAGGCCGTGGGCATGGGGTGATGGCTGACTCGGGGCGGGAGGAGCAGCATGAGGCCAGGCGTGGCTGAGGGTGGCGGGCAGGGCTGACCCGCCGTGCCCTGGCTTGCCCCCGCAGCGGCTGTACAGCATGGACCTGCGGAGCTCCCACCAGGCCAAGGGCGAGGAGAAGCTCTGCTTCTCCCTGACGCGCCCGCTCGGCAGCGGGAGCCCCGAGGGGGTGGTCAAGGCAGGGGCACCCGAGCTGGTGGACAAGGGCCCCTTGGTGCCCACCCTGCCCTTCCCGCTCCGCAAGCCGCGCAAGGCCCACAAGTACCTGCGGCTCTCACGCAAGAAGTTCCCGCCCCGCGGGCCCAACCCGGAGAGTCACAGCCATCGACGGGAGCTCTTCCTGCAGGAGCCCCAGACCCCGGACACCCTGCCGGCCGCCGGCGAGTGGGAGCCTGCCGAGCAGCCCCCGGGCGAGGAAGGTGAGTGCCGGGGCCCACCTGCCTGCTGCTCCGGGCCGGCGGGGAGGCCCTGCCCCTGCCCCGGTCGGGGCACCGAGGGAGACACGTGGGGGGGGCGAGTCTGCCCGCTGCCACCTGCTCCCGCTCCCCGCCTCGTGGTCAGCAGCGCCCCGTCTGTCTGTGTCTCCCGCGGCTGCAGCAGAAGCAGACTTGGCCGAGGGGCCCCCTCCCTGGACGCCCGCGCTCCCCCCCAGCGAAGTGACAGTGACCGATATCACTGCCAACTCCATCACCGTCACCTTCCGCGAGGCGCAGGCGGCCGAGGGCTTCTTCCGAGACCGTGGCGGGAAGTTCTGAGTCGCCGTTGTCGCTCCTCAGCTGTGGCTTTCGGGCTTGGGGTGGGGCTTCCGGAGATGGGGAAGGTAATTATTTTATTTAAAAAAGTTCGGAACAGAAAGGGGCGGATCCCGGGCGCCCCGACCCTGCCCCTTCTCCAGGAGTCATGTTTACAGAGAGGCCTGGGCGCGCGGGGAGGCCTGACCCCTGTCAGTCGGGCGTCACCCAGGCAGGATGGGGACAGGCCTCCTCGGACACCTGCCACCGTTCCTCTCCAGAGAGAGCCCAAGCCTCTCCCGGGGCTGGCCCAGCCCAGCCTTTCTGCTTGCTGTTCCCTTTCCTGGGGGCTGGGGGGGCTTTCTGACCTTCCACTCCAGCTGCTCGGTGGGATGCGGAGCTGGCTTTGTCCAAGCATGGCTGGTGCCGAGAGGGGGGGCAGGAGGAAGGGCTGGGGTGCTGGGGCGGCCCCTTCCCGGGCCGGCTGCCCACTGAGCCCTGCCCCTCCGGTGCCCTCCCCGGCGCCCTCTTGAGCGGGGGCACCTGACTGCGGACGTGTGCGGCGGGGCTGGCGAACTTTCTGCTTAGGAGCTCGGACCACGGGAGGGGGAGGCGGGTCACGGCAAACAGGAGCTTGCCATGGGCACCCCGCCCTCACCCCACCTGCATGCACACCCCTCCACGCTTCTGCCCGGCTCAGCAGCTGTCAGCGGAGGGGAGGCCGGCCCGGCGCGGTGGCCAGACAGCCCGTGTGGCCCTCGGCCTGCGCGCGGGAGCCGCCTCTCTGACTCAGGGGACTTCAGCCCGGCCCGCTCCTCCTTCTGCCCGCCCTCCAGTTCAGCCCAGCGCCAGCACTCAGGGCCATCCTCGGCTCCCTGCACCCCCCTTCTGTCCCGGGTCCCTTCCCAGCCCACCCTGAAAGCTGCAGCTGGGGCGCGGGTGGGGCCTCTGCCTGGCCTCCTGCGGGCGGCGGACAGGCCCGCGCTGGAGCGACCGCTGCCCGGAGGGGCTCCTTCCCCAGTCTGCACGCTCAGGCCTGGGGCTGGTGGCTTCCCCCGCGGTGAGAAGCGACCCCTCCCCTCCCCCAGCCCCGGACTGGAGGAAAAGCCAGACTGGGGGGCCCAGGGGGCCATGGCTCCCCCCTCCCCTTTGTCAGAGTGGGGCACTTAGGGGGAGTTGGAGCCCTGCCTGCCCTCCCAAAGGACCGTCCCCCACTCTGTGCTTGTTCTGAGGAAGGACAGGGCGGGTCTGGCCCCAGACTCCTTTTTTCCTAGTTCCCTAACCAAAGACAGCCTGCACCCCAGTTCTGCGTAGGGCGCCCTGCCGGCGAGATTCCCCAACCCTTGACTCTGCCCCCTTCCTCTCTCATCCGTAGTTGTCCAGGGTCAATTCAGTGCTTCCAGTGGGGGTCAGCCCCTCATCACCGCCAGCCTGAGGAGTGGAGTCTAGAGTGCGGGGTCAGGGAGAGGAAGGGCAGCCTCGAGCCCCGCCCCCCCCCCCCCCCCCCCCGGCTGTGGGACCCCAGGAGGGGCAGGAGCGTGGCGTGGGGGCCCTGTCAGCACGGGTGATGTTGCCCCCGTGCCTTTGGGTCAGAGTTGGCAGCTTCCGGTCAGAGTCACCCCCCCCTCCAGGGGTGTGGGGGTCTCTTTCGAAGAGCGGTTTGTGCAATGTGAAGATTTGGGGGGATCGTTTTGGGGGATGAGGCAGATGCTTTTGTCTGTGGCAGAACATGTTTTGCCTCTTCCTCAGCCTTTCGTGCCCCCGGTGCCCTGCATCTCAGGGAGGGCGGAGCCCAGGGGCCGGGCGGGCAGCTTCCTGGGGGAGGGCTGTGGGCTCTGGGGCTTTCCTGCCTGGGACAGAGGCCTCTGGGGGGGTCGTGTGGCCACGCAGGCCCCCTCCCAGCCCTGCGCGTTCCGGCGAGACAGGGGCAAGGTGGACAGTGACCTCCCCACAGCCCCCCAGAAGGCCAGTACTCTTGGGGGCGCGGGCCTCCGAGTTGGCCCGTCTGCCCGCCGTGCCCCACCCGATCTGAATGTAGAGAGACTGAGAAGGGCCAGTAAGTACTTTTCTTCTGCGGCGCGGGGGGCGCGAGGAGAAGCTTCTCCGTTCCCCCTGCCGCCTGGGCCCGCGCTGCCAGGCGCCCCCGGGCTGGAGGTGCCCTCGCCGGCCGCCGCGCCCGCTGGGGAAGGCGCTGCTTCTGGACGGTGGACGGGCTCTTGCGTCGGGAGTGGCCAGCCCGGCCCCCGGGGCTCCGCACAAGCGCCTTTGCACAGAACGAGCTGCAGCGCCAGACAGACTGAATGTAGGGGCGGCCGGCCGGCGAGCTGGGGCGGGTGCAGAGCGCGGTTTTATTTTTGTACTGATATTGGGAAGAGACTGTATAGCATCTATTTATTTAGATGATTTATCGGTAAATGAGGCAAAAAATATTAAAAAATACATTAAAGATGATTTTCAAAAAGCTCTCGGGCTCCTCCTCACGGTGTTCTGTCGCTCCCGGTGGCCTGGGTTTCGGGCCCAGGCCTGCCCGTTCCTGACCAGGACAGCTTGTGTCTCTGCGCCGCTGGCTGGCGGGAGCCACCTGGGCATGGGGGGTGGGGCGGGGAGAGGGAGGGGGAGCCAGAGCCTGGGGTGTGAGCGGCTGGCGGCCCCAGAGGCCCCGAGGCCCTTCTGCTCTCCGGAGCTTCTGTGCCTGAGCTGAGGTGGTCAGCACCCCAGGCATCTGCAGCCACAGGTTCTGAACCCAAAGGACAAAGGGGGGGGCAGGAGAGTCCTCTGGACCCATCTGCACGGGGTGGGGGCGCAGGGCTGGACACGGAGGCCCGCAGGGAGCAGGCAGGGGAGAGCGGGCAAGAGGTGCCGCGGCAGGAAGGGCCCGAGCAGGATCCCCGTGATCGGAGCGGACGGGTGAAGGAGTCCGGAGCGCTCAGTGGCTTTTTCAGGCTTTCGAGTTTATCAGGTACACGACAGGCCGGGGGGCCGGGGGACCCCCTCTTTCTGGGCTCTCCGGCGTGCTCTCGTGGCCTCTGCTTCTCTGGGGTGCTCTTCCGGTCTCTCGCGTGTCCTCCTGGTAGTTCTGTTCCTGCCCCTATAAGCCTCGTCTCAGCCCAGGTGAATCCACCTACGCGTGCCCACACCCTTCTCCAGGTGCCGCCATCGGGCGTGCATCCGGGACCGCAGGGATCCATCATCCCTCCTAATGGCGGGAGGGCAGAAAAGCCTGACATTTACCCTACAATCCACCCCCTCAGGGTTTTCATTTTTCTTTTTTTTTTTTTTGTGGGACCCTTGCCGGCGGCGGGGGAACAAACAGGTGCTGCAGAGGCTGCGGGCAGCCCCGCAGCCCAGTGCTCAACCGCTGCGCCAGCAGGGGAGGGGAGGCCCCCTCGGGGTTTTCTGCCACGCAGTCTGCAGCCTGTACACAAGTCACATGCAAGCTAAATACACATTTCCCTGAGCACTGCAGCCCCGGCCCGCAGAAGCACAGCACGCATCTCCATAGAACAACAGACCCCAGGACGGCAGAACACAAGTAAGCCCAGGCAGGGCACCAACCCAACGGCAAAAGACAAGATCCCTGGCATCAGCAGATGAGCCACCACTTCTGCCGAAGGCGCGGGTCATGCGAGGGGGGGAGCCACACCTGCCGTGGGGCTTCCTGGCCCCCTCCGGCCGTAGTCTCAGCCACAAGCCACACGCCGCATCCACCCCAGGACGCGCTCGCTCCTGGACTGGCGGTTCTGTACTCTTTGGGGGCAATCGCCCAACCCTCAGGGTTTCTGTCGCCGGGCACCCCAACGCTCGGCTTCATAGCCACCCACGCGACACGCAGGCCCTGCGCTCAGGCCAACCCACTGCACATGCTCATGGGTCGGGGAACTGTGAACACAAACGCCACACGCGGCCTCTCTTGGGTCCCCTCCTTGGCTGTGGGCCCCACCACCAGCACGTTCCCCACCCGTCCCCCAAAGACGGATGCCTCAGCGCATCACCCTCACTCAACCGCGAGCAGGGCACCAGCCACAGGTGATTTCACGAGACTCACTGGCCTTCGTCTACATATTTAAGCTGCTTCACAGCCGCTCAGGGCTTCCCAATCCCAGCACCAGCTTTTTGCCTTTCTAAGTTGGCTTTTTTTTTTTTTCTTTAAAGATTTATTTATGTGTGCATAGATGATGCGCGGGAGGGTGAGAGGATTCACCAGAGAGAGCGGGGACAGAACAGGCAGACTGACGAAATCCACTGCTGAGGGGAGCAGCGGGCGAGACAGGCGAGGTCTGCCGCGCCACGTAGGCACCTCCGCTGCCGGCGGGGATCGAACCGGCGCTGCAGAGGCCGCGGACAGCTTCGCGGCGCTGCGCTCAACCACCTGCGCCACCAGGGAGGCCCTCTAAGTTGGCTTTTTTGATCTGTCTCCTCTGCCTGGCTGCAGAGAACTTGGCAAGGGCACCCTCCCTCAGCCAATCTTGGGCTCTTGCCATGCCTGCCCCTTCCTCTACTCTGGCCATTGCCTCTCTGGGCTGTGGCCCTGGGAGTGCTGGGCAGTACCCAGGCTGCTTTTGGCCACCGAGGCCCAACTGGCCAGGCCTTTTCATTTCCTGGGGTTTACAAACGACACCATCCACCCCCAGGGCCCCCAAAACATAACATCAACCTGCCATAAGGTTCCTCGGCCTGCTGGCGGGGCTGTCCGTCCAAGTCCATCAGTTTTTCCCTTTGTCAGCACTGGGCGAGCTCCGAATCGTGGTCCTCTTTCTCCTATGATTCTGCTGCCTCGGGGGTCGTGGGCTGGTCCTCACAGGCCGCCGCCTCCTCCGGGCGGTCTCGTCCCGCAGCTCCTGGACTTTGTCCACCACCTGTGCTCCTGCCATGGCGCCTCCAGCGTTGTCACAGGCTCACGGTCTGCTACTCCTCGGTCCCTCCCGAGGTCTTCAGAGGGCTCCTACCCGTCTGCATCGAATCGTTCTGGTGACTTGCGCCAATTGCAGGGGCAGGAAGAGCACAGGGCAGGTTCCCCGTGATCAGAGCAGGCGGGTGAAGGAGGAGTCCGGAGCCCTCGGTGGCTTTTTCAGGCTTTTATTGAGTTTCCCAGGTACACGGCAGGCAGGGGGCCGGGAGGCTGGCAGGGCCCCCAGCGCCCAGCAAACCTTCACTCTTTCTGGGCTCTTTGGCCTTCTCGCGTGGCCTCTGCTTCTCTCCTGCTGCTCTTCCGGCCTCTCCGTGCTCTCCTGGTAGTTCCGCTCCTCTGGCGTCCCCTGACGCCGCCCTTCTAAGCCCCATCTCAGCCCAGGTTTTCCCAGTTACGCGTGCCCACGCCCACTCCAGGAGGCCGCCATCAGGCTGCCTCAGGGCTGCAGGGATCCATCATTGATCCTAATGGGGGGGGGGGGGGGGGGGGCGGGCGGGGCGCAGAAAAGCCTGACAATTACTCACCCTACAGGGCCTCTGCGGTTCCGCGGGCTGGGGGTGGCTACAGCGGGCTCCTGCCGGTGATGAGGATGGACAGGCAGGGGCACCCTCAGGTGGGGGGATGATCAAGGCAGGGAAATGGCATAGTGAGAGGGTGGGGGTGGTCAGGCCAGGTAGATGCTGGTGCCCCACCTGGGTGGAGACTGGAGGAGAAGCAGAGTGGAAGGGCCTCAGTCACCCCCAAAGCAGGGCCTGTGGTGAGGACTTAATGGGCAGGAGTTGCTGCGCATTGTGAGTCAAGGGGCAGGGAGGAGTCCCGATGGGGGAGGGCCAGGTGCTGGTGTCGACATGAGCAGTGTAGTTCCCGGGGGTCTCTCCTGAGGGTGCTGAGGTCACGCGGGTCCGCACGGGTCCTGGACTGGCCTCTGCTGTGCGCTCTTCCTCCAGGACGACGAGGCATTTTGGTGCAGTCTGATGACGGTGACAGTCAAGTGTGTCGTCCACATCCGGGCCCTCTGTACCTCTGTGGGTGCGGGGGCCGCTCCACTTCCTCTACAGTGATTTTCGGGTCTAGTCCAAACCAAACACTTGCTTTCCTTCCTCCACGTCTGCCCGCCCCGACTCCCCCACAGCAGGCAGATCTCTTGCTCATTTGCCACATGGCCTTGGCCCAGGCCCTCTGCCCAGCGCCCCACCCCTGAGGTCCTCCACGATGCCCACATAGCAGGCAGCTCTGTGGGGGAAAGCCTGCATCCACTGCCCGTTTGACCCTGAGTGCCCATGGGGCCTGTCCTGGCTCAGGCTGCCCTTCCACTTTTTTTTAAAAGGTTTATTTATTTATGCATATAAGAGCTGGGGTGCAGGCCAGAGGTGAGAGGAGTCACCAGAGACAGAGCGGGGAGCAGAACAGGCAGACTAACTGAAATACACTGCTGAGGGGTGCAGAGGGCGAGGCAGGAGAGGTCTGCTGTGCCGTGTGGGTAGCTCCCTGGCCGGGGCTCAATTTCCTGCTACAGTGGCTGGCAATAGCTTCATAGTGCTGAGACTTAACCCCTTGCACCGCCAGGTAGGCCCCCAACCTTACTTTTTCCCCTAAAGACTTATTTAACTGTAAATGTAGCTTTTAATTTTCTCTCTTGACTCTCCATCCCCACCCCTAGGCTGTGTCCCCTCCAGAACTTCACCTCTGGCCATGGCAGGTTGAGTGGAGGGAGGGTGGGCTGTGATGGTGGCCAGGGCGGGAGGGCTCCAGGGCAGCGAGGTCTGGAGAGGAAGCAGGCCAGGCAGGGCCAGGTGGGTATCAGCCAGCACAGACCCACCACACCTGCTCTGCCCGGCGTGCCCTGGGCCTCAGTGTGGGCAGAATGTGCCCCCGGCTCCTGCCCTGTGCCCTCACCCAGCCCCTGGGGGACCCCAGTGTTTGAGACAAGCCTCCACAGAGGTGACTCAGTTCCAGGTGGCCAGGGTGGCCCTGTGCCCCCTGGCTGGAAATGGGGACCCGCAGAGGGAGTGGGGGTGAGAAACAGGCACAGAGGGGAAACCAGGTGAGGCCCCCGGGAGGTGGATGCCCTGTGGAGACCAGAGAAGCCGGCCATCCCCCGGGATCTGGGCTCTGGGGGGCACACATGTCTCTCCATTCCAAGTGGGGAGGCTGGGATGGAGGCTGAGAAGAGAATGGGACGGGCCCCAGGGATGCTGAGGGCCCTGAGGTTCTTGCCTTGTGCCCAGGAATTTGTGCAGGGGTCCGAGGTCAGAAATAAAATGTTTTTTCCTTTTTGGGCCTCCCCTGGTGGCGCAGCAGTTGAGCACTGGGCTGCGAAGCTGCCCGCAGCCTCTGCAGCGCCGGTTCAATCCCCGGCCACCAGCGAGGGTCCCACATGGCACGACAGACCTCTCCTGCTGTGCCCGCTGCTCCCCTCAGCAGTGTATTTCGTTAGTCTGCATGTTCCGTTCCCTGCTCTGGCTCTGGTGAATTCTCTCACCCTCCCGCGCTTCTGACTGTACCCAGTGCTTGTATAAATAAATCTTTATTAAAAAAATGTTTTTTTCTTTTTATTAACTTTTTTACATTGTTGTTCATATTTTCACAGCATTTCATCCCCCCAGGTGTTGTCCACAGACCTCCTAGGAGCACACCACCCCATCCCCTGAGCTCTTCCCGCCCTGTGGTGATTGCCTTTCCCTTCCCCTCCTGCTTTAAACCTCAGAGCTGCTGTTGCCTGCACGTTTGTCTTTTTTTTTTTTTTCTGCTCAGAAATGAAGTTTTTACAGCAGGTGACAGGACACACTCCAGAGGCCCCGGGGCCCTTTGCTCTTTTCCTTCCAGACTTGTCTGGTTGTTTCTGGTCCTTCTCTGTGGGTCCCCACGGGAAGGTGCTTTAGACTCATGGCAGCTTTCGGGCCTTGCTCTGGGCCAAGCCCGTCTGGGTGGACTTTTACCCACAAGGGGACGGGCGGCTTTGGGTGCTTGATATAGAAACTATATTCCTTGCCTTTCCCGTGTTGTTTACCGATTGTAGATTGAATTAAGGTTCCTTTTCATTAGAGTCTCATGTTTTGTGTGGATGCGGCGGATGCCCCTCTCCCTGCCCTGTAACAGGTCAGCCAGGCCACGGAGGCGACCTCTCTTGACTGCTGCGTCCTCTGGGGACCTGGGTGCTAGTGATTTAGGAGCCAGGGCGGAGAGCAAAGGAGTCAGCAGATTCCAGGAACAGCAGCTCAGCTGCAGGAACCCGGGCTGGGTGGGCTTTGTTTAAACAGGTGGGGGAGGCAGTCTCTTTAAGGGGTTCATTCCACCTCTGGGGAGCGCTTCCTTCTGTGTTTTTAGCACTGAGCAGCTCTGTGGCCCAGCTCCAGGTTGTAGCCATTACTGGTTGTAAATACGGGCCTCAGAGAGAAAAAAAAGTTAGATAAGGTATTTTCCTTTTTGTGTTTTCAAGGTCGGAGCAATTTAACCTTTTAGCCTCCCAAGACCCAGGCTTCCTTCTCTGCAAGGAGCCGCATCTCTAAGTGGAAACAGCCTTGAAGGATGTTTCTCGAATCCCCTGATGTTCAGGCTCCTGGATATTCGACCCATTCAAGTTCTGTAAATAACCAGATTTGAATAATGTCATGAGAGGGAGGAGGCAGGTTAAGGGGATCCCTCCGGAGGCCAGAGACAGACCTTGTGGGGTGAAGGGGGCTGCCCAGGAGGCGATGGTGGGGTGACAAAACCCTTACCTGAGAATATCTTTGAGTATTGTGACCAGGGAACGATAATTTCGTTGCAGTTCCTTCCAAGGCCTAAAAGGCGTTCCCTGATTGTCTACAAAGTTGTCCCAGCAGTATCTGAAGTCTGAGAAGAGGGGTGTGGTGAGCAGCTGTGGGCAGGGCCTCCGGAGGCCCCTCCCCCCCAGCATGGGTCCCCCTCAGGCCTCTGTCCTCCCTGCCAGGAGCCACCAGGCTGGCCTCAGTTCCCAGGCCCCCCCCACCCCATCCCACCCCAGGCCCTCAGCCCTGCCCCCGACCCTCACCCTCGAAGGACATGATGTCCACCTGGGCCCCCAGGCGGCGGAGCCCCTCCCGGTACTCGGGCTCCCAGTGGTAGTAGAGGCGGGCAGCGAAGACGCTCAGCTGCACAGTGTGGTGCTTCTGCAGGAAGTCGGCCACCGCCCGCGCGCAGCCTGCGCAGGGGCTCCAGGACATGAACCAGGTGACGTGGTAATGCTCCCGGGGGGACAGGAGCTGCTCCAGCCAGGAGAGGAGGAGCAGTTCTGGGTGGATTTGAGGCCCGGGTTCAAACTGGAAAGATGGGGATGGAAGGGAGCCTTGGCATCGGGGGGCAGAGGGTCGGGGCCAGGCGGGCACAGGGTCCCAGGACACGCTCCTCACGGACGGCTCCTCTCCACCCGCCTCTCCTCTTCCCGCGCCATCATGGGCTCATGCATGAACCCCAACATCCATTCTCCATCTCTCCTACCCCCTGCCTTCCCCACCCTGAACCCCAGGCCTGACTGCCCTCTGCTGGGACCCCCACAGGGAAGCCGCAGGCCACCGGGGGCCCCTGAGCTCAGGGAAGGGGCTCCTCTGAGGGCAGGTGTGTGACACGTGTGAGCCCCACATCGCAGGTCAACGAATTAGCGTGAAGACACGCGGCAGCGCCTGTGGCGATCTGGGCTTCCTCTCCGGGGAAACACCCCACAGGCCACCGCCGCCCGCACCACCAGCATCTCCCCATTCCTCTCCCTTGTGCAGCAGCGGGTCAGGGCCAGGGGACATCCGCCTGTCTCCGTGGCGCCTCCACGGAGCACCCTGCGCGCGGTCTGGCCCCCACCCCAACAGGTTCCGGAAAGCGGGGGTGCCGAGGGGTGGGGCGCTGCCCGGGACAGGTCTGGTCGGCGGGGCTGCGGGCGCGGGGCTGGCTCTAGTCCCTGCTCGGGCTGCAGGTCCCGGGGCGGGGCCGGGGCTCAGGGCAGGCTGGGGCGGGCGGTCGGGCTCGTGGGGTCTCCCGTGGCTCCCACGCAGGCCCTCGGCAGGGAGGAGGCAGGGCGGGCCCGGGGAGGGTCTGTCAGCCCAGCAGCGAAGGGGGCACATCAGGCCCCACCTTCCAAAGATGCTCTTTCCTCCGGGCCCTGGGCGCCAAGTGCAAAGGCCAGACGCGGACACCCCGAGGCCTGGGAGTGTTGGCGCTTACAGGTTAGCAACAGCCCCTGCGGCTGGCTCGGCAGCGAGGACGGTTGATGCCAACAGATAAGGGACCCTCGGGTGCCGTGGGAGCCGGCGTGAAGCCTTGGCAGATAAGGGAGGCAGAAGCCTGTCACTGGAAGCCGCCACAAGCCCGGTGGCCAGCACAGGCGACAGGCAGGGCATCATCCCCGGGGAGCGGGGCTGATCCTGACCCCACACCCAGCAGGTGATCGCCAGGGAAGGCGGTTCCCCAAATGTCACAGGAAGCCCCTGAGACCTGAGGACAAGAGGTGCCCCGGCCCCGTGTGGACAGCGCCCCTCCAGCCTGGCCCTGGCCCCACCCCTAAGCAGCAGGCTCCGAACATCTGCCTTTCTGTGCCTGCACCCCCTCTGTGAGCTGCTTCACCTGCGCCGCCGCCACCGCCCCGGCTCCCCCAGGGCAGGGTCAGTCCAGTGCCGCCCTGTACAAGCGCCAGGCCGGTGGGAAGGGACACGGCTGCCCAGGACTTGGGAAGAAGCCCTGGGAGGAGCCCGGCCGGAGCCCGCCCTGGTTTCCTGATTCCACCTGCTCCCGCCTCCCCTGGCCAGCCCGGCCGACGCCCCTACCTGGTTTGTAAAGACCCCGCTGGCCACGTGGAAAAAATAGCCACGAAAACTTTTTTTCACCTCGTAGCAGATGAAGGTACGGTTTCGACCATAGGCTCGGAGTAGGTTTTTAAAGTGGAAGTAGAAAGTTGGTCTATATATGTAGTAGCCTTCTGGGACTCTGAAAAAGAGAGAAAATAAAATGCAAGAGGGGTCCCTGGGGTCACGCCAGGCCCCTGAAACCCAGCCTCTTGGGCCCACCTGGGCAGGGGCCTCCCTCCCCTCTCCCCAGCCCTGAGCAGTCCAGGCTTCCTTCCCAGGCAGCGAGGAGGGGGGTGGGGGTGCCAGCGGGACCCCAGGGCCAGGTGACCTCTCCACCCGGCCCCATGGGCTCCCTCCACCTGCACACCCCCCCCTCTTGCCCACGCACCCCCAACCCACTAGAAAAACAGAAAGGAGAATCAAAAGCCCCCCACCCCCACATGATAGTGGTGAAGGACTATAGAAAAAAACTGAAAAGGAGGCGCCACAAGCCCAGAAGCCTGGCTCACTCCAGGAGGTGGGGGCGGAAGAGATTAGCATAACCAGCACCAGCATCACCGGGCGTGGTCTAAACATATGGAGATTGAGCCCAACCGACCCCAAAGGTGAAGACATGGAGATGGAGCCCATCCTAGAATCTCCAGTCCCTTCCACATTCCGCAGTTATCCAAAATCAGCAACCAACAGACACCTCGCAAGGAGAGACTCCTCCCCAACAGAAGAAACCTACAGCAGGGCTGTCTGCACGGCTGGGGGCAGCTCCCACTGCCCACCTGAGAGTATGCAGGTTCCTCTTTTCACTAGCTCCCTCCCTCTGCAAGGCAGCAGCCTCCTGCCTGCCCATGCCCTGCCTAGGCCGCCCACCTGCAACCAAGCAGGCCTCTCTCAGCAAACCTGTCCCTTCTGGGGCAGCTCTTCTGCCAGCTGTGTCTCTGCAAGTGTCTTTAGCTGTTTTACCCCTTCCCTAATAAACCTGCCCTTTAGCCTCCCCGCTGGTGCAGCAGTTGAGCGCTGGCTGTGAAGCTGGCCCCAGCCTCTGCAGCGCCCTTTCCATCCTCCTCAACCTATGCAGCGCCGGTTCGATCCCCGGCCCCTGGGCAGGGTCCCACATGGCACGCAGATCTCTCCTGCTGCGCCCGCTGCTCCCCTCAGCAGTGTACTTCGGTCCTTCTGCCTGCTCTGCTCTCCGCTCTGTCTCTGGTGAATTCTCTCACCCTCCCGCGCTTCTGACTGTACCCAGTGCTTGTATAAATAAATCTTTATTTTAAAAAGTTTTTTCCTTTTTATTAACTTTTTTACATTGTTGTTCATATTTTCACAGCATTTCATCCCCCCAGGTGTTGTCCACAGACCTCCTAGGAGCACACCACCCCATCCCCTGAGCTCTTCCCGCCCTGTGGTGATTGCCTTTCCCTTCCCCTCCTGCTTTAAACCTCAGAGCTGCTGTTGCCTGCACGTTTGTCTTTTTTTTTTTTTTTTTCTGCTCAGAAATGAAGTTTTTACAGCAGGTGACAGGACACACTCCAGAGGCCCCGGGGCCCTTTGCTCTTTTCCTTCCAGACTTGTCTGGTTGTTTCTGGTCCTTCTCTGTGGGTCCCCACGGGAAGGTGCTTTAGACTCATGGCAGCTTTTGGGCCTTGCTCTGGGCCAAGCCCGTCTGGGTGGACTTTTACCCACAAGGGGACGGGCAGCTTTGGGTGCTTGATATAGAAACTATATTCCTTGCCTTTCCCGTGTTGTTTACCGATTGTAGATTGAATTAAGGTTCCTTTTCATTAGAGTCTCATGTTTTGTGTGGATGCGGCGGATGCCCCTCTCCCTGCCCTGTAACAGGTCAGCCAGGCCACGGAGGCGACCTCTCTTGACTGCTGCGTCCTCTGGGGACCTGGGTGCTAGTGATTTAGGAGCCAGGGCGGAGAGCAAAGGAGTCAGCAGATTCCAGGAACAGCAGCTCAGCTGGAGGAACCCAGGCTGGGTGGGCTTTGTTTAAACAGGTGGGGGAGGCAGTCTCTTTAAGGGGTTCATTCCACCTCTGGGGAGCGCTTCCTTCTGTATTTTTAGCACTGAGCAGCTCTGTGGCCCAGCTCCAGGTTGTAGCCATTACTGGTTGTAAATACGGGCCTCAGAGAGAAAAAAAAGTTAGATAAGGTATTTTCCTTTTTGTGTTTTCAAGGTCGGAGCAATTTAACCTTTTAGCCTCCCAAGACCCAGGCTTCCTTCTCTGCAAGGAGCCGCATCTCTAAGTGGAAACAGCCTTGAAGGATGTTTCTCGAATCCCCTGATGTTCAGGCTCCTGGATATTCGACCCATTCAAGTTCTGTAAATAACCAGATTTGAATAATGTCATGAGAGGGAGGAGGCAGGTTAAGGGGATCCCTCCGGAGGCCAGAGACAGACCTTGTGGGGTGAAGGGGGCTGCCCAGGAGGCGATGGTGGGGTGACAAAACCCTTACCTGAGAATATCTTTGAGTATTGTGACCAGGGAACGATAATTTCGTTGCAGTTCCTTCCAAGGCCTAAAAGGCGTTCCCTGATTGTCTACAAAGTTGTCCCAGCAGTATCTGAAGTCTGAGAAGAGGGGTGTGGTGAGCAGCTGTGGGCAGGGCCTCCGGAGGCCCCTCCCCCCCAGCATGGGTCCCCCTCAGGCCTTTGTTCTCCCTGCCAGGAGCCACCAGGCTGGCCTCGGTTCCCAGGGGCCCCCCACCCCATCCCACCCCAGGCCCTCAGCCCTGCCCCCGACCCTCACGCTGGAAGGACATGATGTCCACCTGGGCCCCCAGGTGGCTCAGGCGGCGGAGCCCCTCCCGAAACTTGGGGTCCCAGTGGTAGTAGAGGCGGGCGGCGAAGACGCTCAGCTGCACGGTGGTGCGGTGCTCCTGCAGGAAGTCGGCCACCGCCCGCGCGCAGCCTGCGCAGGGGCTCCAGGACATGAACCAGGTGACGTGGTAATGCTCCCGGGGGGACAGGAGCTGCCTCAGCCAGGAGAGGAGGAGCAGTTCTGCGTGGCGGTGGCAAAACTAGACAAGATGGGCATGGAAAGGGGAGACTGGGTCTCAGGGAGGCAGAGTGGTGCAGGGCAGAGGTGAGGGCAGGTGTGTGACACGTGTGAGCCCCCATCGCGTGTCAATGACGAGCGTGAAGACACGCGGCAGCGCCTGTGGCGACCTGGGCGTCGTCTCCGGGGAAACACCCCGCAGGCCACCGCCGCCTGCGCGCCACCAGCATCTCCCCGTCTCTCTCCCTTGTGCAGCAGCGGAGTCAGGGCCAGGGGACATCCGCCTGTCTCCGTGGCACCTCCTCAGAGCCCCCTGTGGCATGGTCTGGCCCCCACCCCAACAGGTTCCGGAAAGCGGGGGTGCCGAGGGGTGGGGCGCTGCCCGGGCCAGGTCTGGTCGGCGGGGCTGCGGGCGCGGGGCTGGCTCTAGTCCCTGCGGGCTGCAGGTCCCGGGGCGGGGCGGGGCTCAGGGCAGGCTGGGGCGGGCGGTCGGGCTCCTGGGGTCTTCCCTGGCTCATGAGCAGGCCCTCGGCAGGGAGGAGGCAGGGCGGGCCCGGGGAGGGTCTGTCAGCCCAGCAGCGAAGGGGGCACATCAGGCCCCACCTTCCAAAGATGCTCTTTCCTCCAGGCCCTGGGTACCAAGTGCAAAGGCCAGACGCGGACACCCCGAGGCCTGGGTGTGTTGGCGCTTACAGGTTAGCAACAGCCCCTGTGGCTGGAGACGCCAACAGATAAGGGGACCCCAGGGTGCCGTGGGAGCCGCGTGAAGCCTTGGCAGATAAGGGAGGCAGAAGCCTGTCACTGGAAGCCGCCACAAGCCCGGTGGCCAGCACAGGCGACAGGCAGGGCATCATCCCCGGGGAGCGGGGCTGATCCTGACCCCTCACCCCAGCAGGTGATCGCCAGGGAAGGCGGTTCCCCAAATGTCACAGGAAGCCCCTGAGGCCTGAGGACAAGAGGTGCCCCGGCCCCGTGTGGACAGCGCCCCTCCCGCCTGGCCCTGGCCCCGCCCCTGAGCAGCGGGCTCCGCACATCTGCCTTTTCCGGGCCCGCACCCCGCTCTGGTGAGCTGCTTCACCCGCGCCGCAGCCACCACCCCGGCTCCCCCAGGGCAGGGTCAGTCCAGTGCCGCCCTGTACAAGCGCCAGGCCGGTCGGAAGGGACGCGGCTGCCCAGGACTTGGGAAGATGCCCTGGGAGGAGCCCGGCCGGAGCCCGCCCTGGATTCCTGATTCCACCTGCTCCCGCCTCCCCTGGCCAGCCCGGCCGACACCCCTACCTGGTTTGTAAAGACCCCGCTGGCCACGGACACAAATGAGCCGCCATCCTGTCTCTCCACCTCGTAGCAGATGAAGGTACGGTTTCGACCATAGGCTCGGAGTAGGTTTTTAAAGTGGAAGTGGAAAGGTCGTTGATATATGTCGTAGCCTTCTGGGACTCTGAAAAAGAGAGAAAATAAAATGCAAGAGGGGTCCCTGGGGTCACGCCAGGCCCCTGAAACCCAGCCTCTTGGGCCCACCTGGGCAGGGGCCTCCCTCCCCTCTCCCCAGCCCTGAGCAGTCCAGGCTTCCTTCCCAGGCAGCGAGGAGGGGGGTGGGGGTGCCAGCGGGACCCCAGGGCCAGGTGACCTCTCCACCCGGCCCCATGGGCTCCCTCCACCTGCACACCCCCCCCTCTTGCCCACGCACCCCCAACCCACTAGAAAAACAGAAAGGAGAATCAAAAGCCCCCCACCCCCACATGATAGTGGTGAAGGACTATAGAAAAAAACTGAAAAGGAGGCGCCACAAGCCCAGAAGCCTGGCTCACTCCAGGAGGTGGGGGCGGAAGAGATTAGCATAACCAGCACCAGCATCACCGGGCGCGGTCTAAACATATGGAGATTGAGCCCAACCGACCCCAAAGGTGAAGACATGGAGATGGAGCCCATCCTAGAATCTCCAGTCCCTTCCACATTCCGCAGTTATCCAAAATCAGCAACCAACAGACACCTCGCAAGGAGAGACTCCTCCCCAACAGAAGAAACCTACAGCAGGGCTGTCTGCACGGCTGGGGGCAGCTCCCACTGCCCACCTGAGAGTATGCAGGTGCCTCTTTTCACTAGCTCCCTCCCTCTGCAGGGCAGCAGCCTCCTGCCTGCCCGTGCGCAGCCTAGGCCGCCCACCTGCAACCAAGCAGGCCTCTCTCAGCAAACCTGTCCCTTCTGGGGCAGCTCTTCTGCCCGCTGTGTCTCTGCAAGTGTCTAACTGTTTTACCCCTTCCCTAATAAACCTGCCCTTTAAATATAACTAAGGCCTCTGTCTCGTGGAGAAACTCGCCGCGTGCCGCTGAAGCCAGAGCTCTGGTGACACCTGCCCCAGAGTGACCCAAGGACCCCTCACTCCAAACCCAGACTCCAAAAACAATCCTTTGACATTTCAACTCAGTCCTCATTTTCCACCTGTGTCTTGCCTGCGAGTGCATGTGCGCACGTGTGCTGACGCCAGGCTACACCTCCGCCACAGGTGCAGACTTCCATTTTGCATCTGCACATTGGGGCCACCCCCACTTTAGGAATGAGGAAGCAGGGGCGCTGGAGCGTGAGGGCTGCCAGGAGGTGCAGGCCTGCCCAGGCAAGGCCCGCCCCTGCTGCTTCAGGCTGCCCCGCCCTGCTCCGGTAGCTCCTTCCTGCTAGTCTACGAAGGGGAGCCTACTGCCCGGGGCCTGTCTCCAGGGGGGTTTGGGCGCAGACCGCCTCCCCGCCTCCCCCCCCCCACCCCGCCCCTGCTGCTCACAGGTGAGGCGCCCTGGAGAGCTGAGGGAACCTCACCAAGCTCAGTTTGCTGGCTTCCAGAGCTGTACACACTACAGAGGAGCGAAGGGCTCTAGGAAAGTTCCCCGCTGCCTCCACCCCCTTTCGTCAGAGTCAGAGCGGGAGCAGAGCTGAGGTCCTGAGCCCGGGGTGGACTCCCTGCTGGGAGGAGGTGGCCTAGACGCCGGGGGCTAAGGGGCTGGGAGGAGGTGCGGGAGGGGCTGGTGCAGCAGCCAGAGAACAGGGTCAAGGCCGGAGAGCGAGTGGGTGTCAAAGAGAAGAGGCACAGAGACAGAGGGTAAGCCCGGGACTTCTTGGGGGAGACCTGGGGCTGGGGGTGGCGGGGGGGGCAGGGAAGAGCATGATGGAGCTGCAGAGGGGCCCAGTGGTACCTGATACTGGACATCTGGAGGCAGAGTCCGGGCAGGCCCGTCCCAGCCCTGCCCTTTGTCAGCGCTGGGGCCACTTTCCTGTAGAGGTCCCGGGTTTAGGAAAGTCCCTTATCTGAGAGGAAGTCACAGGCCACGTCACCGAGTGTCCTTCCTGCTCTGGCACAGGAGTGGGAGGGCTCTGGGGCTGTTGCTTCCTCAGGCCTCCCTTCTCCTGGACCCTCCTTCTTATGCAAAGCTCCACCTCTTAAGAACCATTTGTTTCTGTGCTAAAGAACCCAAAATTAATTGACAAGCCAAATGAAAAAGAAACCATGGAAAGCTGGGAAGTATCCTGGTTTGTGGGTCCTCACCCCAATGCTCATGTTACAGGCAGGAAGAGGGGTACCTCAGAACCCCCAAACTGCCTGCTCTAAACAGGTTCCGCCATCTGCTGCATCAAGACAAAAACATATAGACCTTTAATGGAAAGGAACTTTAACAACAATACAGAAAGGACAAGGAAAATAGTTTCCAAATCAGGCACCCAGAATTACCCATCCCCTGGTGGGGAAAAGTCCCCCCAAACGGGATTGGCCCAGAGCAAGGCCCAAAAACCTGCCACAAGTCAAAAGCACCTTTCAGTGGGGACCTGTAGAAAAGGGTTAGAAAGAGCCACAAAATTTGGGGAGGAAAAGAGCAAAATCAAAATCAGGATAAAAACTGCCATTGTTACCGTCCCCACGGGTCTCTCACCCGCATCTGCTCCAGCCAGTCCAGGGCTAAGAAGCAAAAGCAGCTTCTTCACTTGTCTCTGCTCCATGTGCCTCCTCCAGGCCTCCTGGCTCTCCATCCTGCTCCCTCCCTTCCCAAATCTCCTCTCCAGCTTCTTCTCTCCCTGCTCAGCTCCACCCTCCCTCGGATGGGGCAGGGAACTTGGAAAATTCCCTTTTCCAGGGGACCCCCCTGTTACTATAATTGCAATACAGGACTCAGGTTCACACTGCACTCAGGTCAACACAGGGGAAAATGGGACAAAGGAAAGTTTTTTTCTTTAATATTTATTTATTTATTTATACAATCACTGGGCACAGTCAGAAGCGCGGGAGGGTGAGAGAATTCACCAGGGCCAGAGCGGGGAGCAGAGCAGGCAGAAGGACCGAAGGACACTGCTGAGGGGAGCAGCGGGCGGCAGGAGAGGTCTGCGCGCCTGTGTGGGTGGCTTTGCTCGAGTCCACCCTGCGCTTGTCACCATGGCCATGGTAACCTGTTACAGGGCAGCCCCGATATAAAACGGGTTGCCTGACTGTGGGTCCTCACCCGCGCTGGCAAGGGACTTATTAATGCTCAACTGCAGGTACACACAAAAGGTTCATAAAAGGTTTATTTACAAAAGAAAGGGAAAATGAAGACATGAATAACTCAGGGAGAGAAAAGAGGGAGATAAACTCATGGATGCCTCCTACCTGTTCCACAGACCTGGAATCCCAAAGGCGCACGCTGAGAGGTGGCAAAGAGCCAAGCCCAGGGAGGCCAAAAGAGAGCCCCAAGGCCCACGCGTCTGGTTTTATACCACACCTGGCTGCTTAACTCCACCCGCAGGTCCCAGCCGCCCTCCCTTCGGTGGTGATGGGATCTGTCATTTCCAGTGTCTTGATGGCTTTGGTCTGGGGTGGGGGTGGCGTCCATAAACCTGTGTGGAATTAGCTCAGGACATCCTTTCCCCCTAACACTCCCACCGCCGCCATGTTGTTATAGGGCAACCCAGATATAAAATAAAACGGGCTGCCTGGCTGTGGGTCCTCACCCGCGCGCTTACAAGGGACTTATGAATACTCCACTGCAGGCACACACAAAAGGTTCATAAAAGGTTTATTTACAAGGGAAAAGGAAATAAGGAAAATGTACAACTCAGGGAGAAAATAGGGAAATAAAGTCTTTAATGCGTCCTACCCGATCCGCCTGAGACACAGGGCAAGCTAGGGTTATTAGGCAGTTTCAGGGACAGTGCAGGAGGGGACCTCTGAAGAATTTAGGGAGGCTTCAGAGATAAGGACAACCCAAGGAATGTAACCAATTCCACTGGGAAAAACAAACATCCCAGGACCACGGACAATATTGTTATCGATGGTCCTGGTTTCCTTCAGGTGGTAAAGGGAGGCAGAGATTGGCGAAATGGAGAGTGGTTTAATTTATGGACAACTTAGAGGGGCAGCTGTTTAACTTCAATGCAGGGATGCCCATCCAGAGGACTGGGCCATAAATTTAAAGATGCAACAAATGGGGAAAGAGAAAGCTGTTAGATAAGGAATGTGAAGATCCCCCGCTCAGTAGCAAATTAGGTGAGACAGCCGAGAACTAACCTGCTGCACCTCCCCCTGCCGTGACCTTTAGGGCTAATGGCTGTTGCCACGGTCCCTGAGGTCCTGCGTGGGCCAGGAACCATGCGTGCAGGGGGAGAACAGCAAACTCCCTAAGATGCAGAGAAGCCGGATGCCTGGCAAGAGATAACGACCCCCAGAAGCCGCCACAAAGGTGGTTAAAAGAAATGCTGACCACCTGGAACCTTATCTCGCTTTCTCAAGGCCCACACACTTTATTCTACTATGACTGTCTTTCTAAAATCTTCTCTTTTTCCCGGTCTAAAAAGGTTATTGGTTGCTAATTAAAAAACATACGTAATTTAATAACTAGGCTAATTCAAATGAAACATTACTAAACTCTGTGTAATAATGGAATTGTTAGTTTAATGATTTCTCTGTTGTGTGCTTGGCTTTGTTAGCTTTAATCTTAATGAAAAAATATTACTTTGTAAAGAGTAAATTCACCCATGCTAATTAATAATGATTTAGTGGTAGTGAGTAGTTATTAAAACAAAAAAGTAGTTACATGGAACAAAAGAAAAATCAATAGCCTGCCTACTTAGGAATGTGACTAGGTCCAGATATAACTTCGGACATAGATCACTGCCCTGTCAATGACAAGCTAAACCTATGAACAAGCTGATTTCGCTCACTGATGTTCGCCGTTCCTATGCTTTTAGAGAACATATACATACTGGCCACCGACTCAAAGAAAATTACACTCAGATTTTCACTCTCTTGAGGTGTGTCTGTGTGTCATTTATTCGCCTAATCCTTGACCACCCTGTGCGATCTCTCAACCCTGAGACTGCCTCGTTGTCCACTGCTGTGCTGGTCCGTGGCACTAACCAATCACAAAGAGATTGGTGGAGCTTTAGAATAATGAGGGAAAGAAGGTCTATATTCCCTGGGACACAACTCCACTTTGGCTTCCTTGCCCCTCCCTGGCCTGGTTTCCTGGCCTGGGAGTCCCACTTTATTTCTGCTCTTTTTCTCCTTAATAAACTTTTTCTTTCTCTAAACAAACCTGCCTCTTCTCGCTTGCTTGCCTGAGCGTCTGCAAAGTTCCTGCTGCGGCTTCGTAAGACACCAACCCGTGGGGGTCTAGTGGCTGGGGCTCAGCGCTGCCCTGCAGCCTGGGATCCGTTCCTGGCTGGGAGACTAGGCCTGACAATTCCGGTATCACGCCGACCTGGAAACCCAAGGGCACTCTCCGAGCTGGCCGGATGCTGCGAGCTGGCGGAGAGCCAAAATGGGGGACCCCTCCAAAGCCCACGTGTCTGGCTTTATACCAACCTGGCTTCTTAACCCCACCGTCAGGTCCCAGCCACCTTCCCTTTGGTGGGGATGGGATTTGGAGTTCCCATTGTCTTTGGCTTTGGCCTGGGGTGGGGGTGGAGTCCACAAAGCCTGTATGGAATTAGCTTTAGGACAGCCTTTTCCCCCTAACAATGTGACCACTCTAGCCCGCGGGAGTGCCAGATCCTCCACTGTAACTGTTCCCATCCCCATCCTTCTCAGGGACCCAATGATTACCTGTTCCATCCCTGCTGGAGCCTCCCATTCCAGAGCCTCCAACAGGGCCACACAGCAGCGGGCATCAAGAAGAGGCCCACATGGCATCGAATGCCATTCTTATCTTTAGACATGGTGTAGCGGAGTTCTGGCCACCTGTGACCACGGAATGCCAACAGAGACAGGAATTGAACCTTCAAGGTGAGCTTTACTCAGACAGGCAGCCGTCTGGAGATGGGGATGAAACTGGTGCGGTTAACACACCCTAAAGAAACTGCCTTAACATTCATTTCTGGCAGGCTTTTGACAGCGAGTTGAACAGACAGTTGTGCAGTGAGCGGCCCTCCTCACTGCCAGGAGCCGTGTGATGTCCAGCACAGAGGTCCCCACAGCCCTCCTGGGCCTGGCCTCCAGGGGGTCCCAGCGTGCTGAGGCTGGTCTGCAGGTATCTGTGCTATCTCCCTGCCCTCCTCCAGAGGTGTCCTTAGGCTGGAAAATCCACTCAGGGCAGACAGGCCACAAACAGTTGTGTTTGGATTACCTGCCACACCCTGCACAGGACGCCCTCCCCTCCCTAGCCCTATCAGTTTCTGGAAAGCAGGCCAGGTAACCTGGGAGACTCAGTGGGCCACGTAACCTAGGAGACCCCATGAGCCCCAACCAACAAGCAAGAGACACAACGTCCAGACACCCAACGGCTGAACCCCACTCCTTCCCCACTATACCCCCATAAATACCTAGTTCTTGCCCCATCCATGGCTAACGAGTTGCCCCTCTCTGCTCTTAGCGCTTTCCTGTCCTGCTGCTTATCTGTCAATAAACTGGTGCTTTTCTGCACTCTGGGCTCCATGTGGAATTGTTTCTTTGCTGAGAAAAGGACTGAGGGCCCTTTGGGGCCCTTGTGATGTTGTTTTTGGAGGTGTTGAGTTCGGGGAGCGGGGTCCTTGCGGTCACTCTGGGAGAGGTTTCACCAGAGCTCCCCTTCCAGCGGCCGGTGGCGAGTTTCCCAGGCGCGTTTGCGTTTCTCCACAACGCAGACTTTACTTGTATCCAAAAGGGCAGGTGTGTTATAGAAGGCAGAGAAGAACAAAGGACACTTGTGTAGACACAGGCGGCCAGGAAGGCTACCCTGAAGGGGACGGGTTTGCTAAGAGAGAGGCCTGCGAGGGCACAGGCCGTGGCCTTGAGGGAGCGGCCTCCGCTGAGGGGGTCAGTAAGGAGGCCGCTGGCCTGCGGAGAGAGGGTTGGCCAAAAGAAGCACCTGCACAGGCCCGGGTGGGCAGAGGCTGTGCCGAGGGTCTTCTCTGTGGGAGGGGATCGCTCCCACCGGAGTGGTTTGTTTGCTCTTGACTTTGAATAAACTGGAGAATTTGAAATGGGCCAGATTTCTACAATGGCTCCATCTCCGCGTCTGCCCCTGGGGTCTGCGCTCCTGACACCCGCCCACGGCCTCTGACACCCCTCGGGTCTGCGCTTTGTGATCCGGACCCTGGCGCCGGAGGCTCTTAGCTCCCCGGCTGGGTTGATGGTTATGCTAATCCCTTCTCCCCCTCCAGCTCTGGGTGGGGGGTGGGGGGGTGGGGGTGGGAGCCAGGTTTCTGGTCTTGGGGCGCCTCCTTTCGATTTTGTATCCTGACCCTCCATCACAGTCCCCACGCCCACCGCCTGCGCCCCCGCCCCTTGGGCCCCCGAGTCCGTGGCGCGGGGCCGTGCAGCGAGCATGGGTCCCCCAGGATTCTCCTCCACCTGGGGTGCGGGTGCCCAGGACACCCCGACTCCTCCAGGCCTGGCCTGAGGCCGGCCCCAGCGCCCCGGCCCTGCCCCCCAGGGTGAGACGGCGCGGCCGACTTTGCGGGGGTCGTTCCCTGCGCCTCCAAATAACAGCGTCAGCGGGAAAGAAACACTTGCGACGGCAGCAGCAGACTCTTCCCCCAGAGCGCGAGGATGCCCGGCCCGAGGCGGCGGCCCGGAGCTCGGCGGGCTGGCGGGGGCGCCGGCCGCGGGGAGACCCCGGCTCGGCGAGCAGGTCCGTGCGAGCCCCGCCTCTGCCTGTGGGATCTGGGGGTTCAGCCACCACCTCTGGGCCTTTGGCGTCCTCATCTGTAATTCAGATATTATCGCCGGCCTCATGGAGTGATGGGTTGGATAAAATTAGGGGGTTTATGGCGAGACCTTAGCACAGTCCCCGGGATGTCAGAGCACTGGGGGGTACGGGGGGGCGCTGGCACGTGCGTCTTAGTTAATTCCCTGGAGCTGAGTCCGCCGCCCGCGCTGGCACTTGCCTGCTCACCCCAGCTCCGCAGGAAACCGCGGGGCATCTTGTGGGGGGCTCTGCAGGCCCGGGGCCGGGAGTTGCAGGTCCTGGTGGACAGCCCGCCCCGCCCGGCCCCGCCCCGGCCCCGCCCGCCCCGCCCGCCCCGCCCGGCTCCTCCACGGCCCCGCCCCGCCCTCCCTGACCCCGCCCCTCCCGGCTCCTCCCCTCCCCGCCCCTCCCTCCCGGCTCCTCCACGGCCCCGCCCCGCCCCCGGCCCCGCCAGGCCCTCCCTGTTCCTCCCCGGCCCCGCCCCGCCCACCGGCCCCGCCCCTCCCTCCCGGCTCGGCCCCGCCCCCGGCCCCGCCCCTCCAGGCTCCTCCCGCGACTTTCCGGTCCAGGAGCCCCCCACTGCCCTCCACACACAGCGCCCCCCACTCGGCAGAACAGATGCCATGTGACATGCCCCCCACCAGAGGTCTGCACTAGCCAGGCTAGAAAAGGACACCTGTGTGCGTATGGGGGGGAGCCGGGGAGATGAGGTGCAGAGCCTGACTCACGGGAGGCGGGGCCCGGGGGATCGGCGCGAGCCATTTAGCCAGTTACAGAAATCAAGACCCTTAGGCATCAAGGCCCAGAACAGGAGGCGCAGCACCCAGGAACTGTCAGACTGCTGTGGGGAGCGTCAGGAGCACAAACCATCCACCCACAAGACGAGCCCCTCCCTGAAGATGATCACACCTAGCGCTGCCCCCACAACGGGGCAGCCGTCTTTCTACCCACCTGTGCCAGTGCAGGTGCTTCCTTTCACTCACCCTCTCCCTCCGCAGGGCAGCGGCCTCCTGCCTGCCCGTGACCACCTGCCAGGGCTTCTCCTCACTGACCCCCTCAGTGGAGGCCGCTCCCTCAAGGCTGCCCGCCTGCAACCAGGCAGGCCTCTCAGCAAACCTGTCCCTTTCCGGGCAGCTCTTCATGCCCGCTGATGTCTCTGCAAGTGTCTTTTACTCCTCCGTCCCTTTCCCTAATAAACTTGCTCTTTATTTTTTTTTTAAAAGATTTATTTATTTATGCATACAAGAACTGGGACACTGGCCAGAGGTGTGTGGGGAGGGGGTGAGAGGTTTCAGCAGAGACAGAGTGGGGAGCAGAAAACAGGTAGATCCACTGACACACTGCTGAGGGGAGCAGCGGGGAGACAGGAGAGGTCTGCTGCGCCATGTATGTGGCTCCCTGGCAGGGGATTGAACTCATGCCACCGTGGTAATAGCACTGACACTTAACTCCTAGGCTACCAGGGAGGACCTAATTTGCTCTTCTTCTTTTTTTTTTTTAAAGATTTACTTATTTATTTATGCATACAAGAGCTGGGGTACAGGCCAGAGGTGTGGGGTGAGAGGATTCACCGGAGACAGAGTGGGGAACAGAACAGGCAGAACTGACCGAAACACACTGCTGAGGGGAGCAGTGGGCGAGTCAGGAAAGGTCTGCTGCGCCATGTGGGTAACTCCCTGGCTGGGGATCGAACTCGTGCTACAGAGGCTGCTGATAGCTTCATAGGTTGCGTCTTAACCCCTTGAGCCACTGGGGAGACCCTCTAAACCAGTTTTATAATCAATTTATTTCAGCTGCCCAAATCATTCAGAGAAAGTAAAACTGACTTCCACTTCCTGAGAAAGTTAAATTCTAACACTTGCAGGGCTGAGAGAACTCACCTGAGAACCTCCTAGGCCATTAAATTGACAAGCACATGGTGCTCTGGCTTTTAGGGAGTCCCAGCTCTGTCCTACCCTGGGATGGGAGAGTATTGGGCTCTTTCCCGGGAAATGCTTAACCTGGGAGGGGAAGAGCCTTGTCATCTGCAAGGCCCACTCTGGAGGAGCTGCCTCCCCCTCTGGAGGCTTCTTGCTTTCCTGGGGCTTCTGCCTGGTCAAAGGAGGAGGCCAGGGAGCTGACCCACATGGCGCAGCAGACCTCTCCTGCCTCCCCATTGTTCCCCTCAGCAGTGTGTTTCAGTCCGTCTGCCTGTTCTGTTCCCCACTTTGTCTCTGGCAAATCTTCTCACCCCTGCACCCCTGGCTTGTACCCCAGCTCTAGTATGCATAAATAAATAAATCTTCAAAATAAAACCAAACTGCACACTCACTGTGGAACAGGGCTTTCTTCTCTTTCTTTGTTTTATTATTGAACAAATACCAAACAAACAAACTAAAAGACCAAAACACAAAACACCGTCCCTTTTCCTCCATGCACTCTCGCCGCCTCTGGGAAGCCCCCTCGGTTATCAGAGAACTGCCCGAATGGCAAGATGTCATCTCCCCGGTGGCCGGGCGGTTTGGCTCATGTGTCTAGACCACATCTTTATCCGGGTCTCTGTGGGCACTTAGGTTGCTTCCATGGCTTCGCTAATTGTAAATAATGCTGCACTAAACTTGGTGGGGCATGTGCTTCTTTGAGTTGATGGTCTCCTGTTCTTCATAAAGATACCGGAAGTGGCTTTGCAGGATCATAAAGCATTTCTCCGGGTAGCTTTTTAGGAAAGGTCCAGATTGCTTTCCAAAATGGCAACAGCAATTTATATTCCTGCTTCTCCCACACCAGCACCCTGTCTCTCCCTAGGGAGTCATGTGGTAACAATATTGTAGTAGAATTTGGTCACATATATAACTCCCTGGATTCTTAATCTGTATCGAATTTGTGGAGTGGACCTCAAACAGAAATGTGTGCCCTTAGAAGTAAATGTTAGAAGAGGAAAATACTTATATTTGAAGTTTAAGTGATCCATTTAAGAAGTTAGAAAGGGAAAAAGGATGAAAATCAAAACCTAGTACATTAAAAATAAAGCTGGAAAATCTCTGTAAACAAAGCAAAATTACACTAACTTGAATGAAAACAGGGTCGGAAGAGAAAAAAAACCATCAACATTTGCCAGTAACTGAAAAATGAGGCAAAATGAACAACTTCCTACAAAATATAAAAGTCATACAAAAAGGCAGAGGACACATGATTAACCCTAAACCACTAGAAAATTTTAATTAATAATTAAATTATTAATTAAGTACTCTCCCATCCCAGGGTAGGACAGAGCTGGGACTCCCTAAAAGCCAGAGCACCCCACTCAGGAGTTGCAAGCCTAGAGCTCTCCCTGGAATTACTTTCATTTTGCCTCTAATGAACTTTTCTTTTGCTTGTGCTAGAGCTTGGTTTCAGCTTCACAGCACATGGACAAGGAAACAGAAACCCCAAGCATGAAAGCGGCGGCCCACACCCTCCACCAGCCGGTCTCATCGAGACTCTGTCCACTCCACAGCGGGCGCAGAGTAGTGCAGCCAGCGGGGCTTGGGCTGGTGCAGGGGTGGCGGTCCCCAGGGTTGCAGGCGAGTCTGGTCTCTCCCCCAGGGCCTGCCCCATCATTACTTCCTGCTTTCACTTTGCAAGTATGTTGAGTCCATTTCAAAAAAAAGAAAACTGTCCAAGAGGAAGGGCCAGGGAGTAGACAGGGCGGGTCTGAGTCTGCAGAAGCGACAGCCCGAGGGCCCTCCCACTCCTGTGCCAGAGCGGGAAGGACACTCGGTGAAGCATTCTGTGAGCTTCTCTCAGATAAGGGACTCTGCTGAACCCGGGACCTCTACAGGAAAGTGGACCCAGCACTGACAAAGGGCAGGGCTGGGACGGGCCTGCCCAGACTCGCCTCCAGATGCCCAGCATCAGGTACCACTGGGCCCCTCTGTAGACCCGTCCTGCTGTCCCCGCGGCCCACCCATCTCCCCACAGCAGTCCCGGGCTCACCCTCTGTCTCTGCGCCTCTTCTCTGTGGGACCCACTCTGTCCCCGGCCTTGACCCTGTTCTCTGGCTGCTGCACCAGCCCCTCCCGCACCTCCTCCCTGCAGGGAGTCCACCCGGGGCTCAGGACCTGGGCTCTGCTCCTGCTCTGACTCTGACTAAAGAGGAGTGGAGGCAAGAGGGAACTTTCCTAGAGCCCTTCGCTCCTCTGGAGTGTGTACAGCTCTGGAAGCCAGCAAACTGAGCTTGGTGAGGCTCATCCCTCAGCTCTCCAAGTGCCTCACCTGTGAGCAGCAGGGTGGGGAGATCTGCTCCCAAACCTGCCAGCATCCAGGTTCCCCAGGTCTCTGCGGCATCAGCACCGGCCTGGAGACAGAGGCCCCGGGCAGCTGGCTCCCCTTAGGCTCCCCTTCGCAGACAAGCAGAAAGGAGCTGGCAGGGCGGGGCAGCCTGGAGCAGCTGGGGTGGGCCATGCCCGGGCAGGCCTGCGTGTCTCCCAGCAGCCCTCACTCTCCCGCGCCCCTGCTTCCTCTTTCCTAAAGTGGGAGTGGGGGTGGCCCTGCTGTTTGGGGTGGAGTCCAGATGCAGAATGGAAGCCTGCACCCGTGACCAGGGGTGTAGCCTGGTGTCAGCACACACGCACACACAGGCGAGACACAGGTGAAAAGCAAGGACTGAGTTGAAATGTCAAAGTTATCATGTGGGGGTGGGGGGCTTTTGATTCTCCTTTCTGTTTTTCTAGTGGGTTGGTGGTGCGTGGGCAAGAGGGGCGGGGTGTGCAGGTGGAGGGAGCCCATGGGGCCTGGTGGAGAGGTCACCTGGCCCTGGGTCCCGCTGGCACCCCTCCCCTCCCCCCTCCTCCCTGCCTGGGAAGGAGCTGGGACTGCTCAGGGCTGGGGAGAGGGGAGCGAGGCCCCTGCCCAGGTGGGCCCAGGAGGCTGTGTTCAGGGGCCTGGCGTGACCCCAGGGACCCCTCTTGCATTTTATTTTCTCTCTTTTTCACAGAGACCCAGCACACTTGCTAGATCCACACAATTTCTTCTTCCACTTTGAAAACCGACTCTATACCAATGGCCGAAAGCGCATCTACATCTGCTACGAGGTGGAGAGACAGGATGGCGGCTCATTTGTGTCCGTGGCCAGCGGGGTCTTAACAAACCAGGTAGGGGTGTCGGCGGGCTGGCCATGGGAGGCAGGAGCAGGTGGAATCAGGAAACCAGGGCGGGCTCCGGCAGGGCTCTTCCCAGGGCATCTTCCCAAGCCCTGGGCAGCCGCGTCCCTTCCCACCGGCCTGGCACTTGTACAGGGCGGCACTGGACTGACCCTGCCCTGGGGGAGTTGGGGCGGTGGCTGTGGTGCGGGTGAAGCAGCTCACCAGAGCGGGGTGCGGGCACAGAAAAGGCAGATGTGCGGAGCCCGCTGCTCAGGGCCGGGGCCAGGGCCAGGCGGGAGGGGGGCTGTCCACACGGGGCCGGGGCACCTCTTGTCCTCAGGCCTCAGGGGCTTCCTGTGACATTTGGGGAACCTCCTTCCCTGGCATTCACCTGCTGGGGTGTGGGGTCAGGATGAGCCCCACTCCCCGGGGATGATGCCCTGCCTGTCGCCTGTGCTAGCCACCGGGCTTGTGGCGGCTTCCAGTGACAGGCTTCTGCCTCCCTTATCTGCCAAGGCTTCTCCCATGGCACCCTGAGGGTCCCCTTATCTGTTGGCGTCTCCAGCCACAGGGGCTGTTGCTAACCTGTAAGCGCCAACACTCCCAGGCCTCGGGGTGTCCGCGTCTGGCCTTTGCACTTGGCGCCCAGGGCCCGGAGGAAAGAGCATCTTTGGAAGGTGGGGCCTGATGTGCCCCCGTCCTGCTGGGCTGACAGACCCTCCCCGGCCCGCCCTGCCTCCTCCCTGCCGAGGGCCTGCGCGTGAGCCACGGGAGACCCCAGGAGCCCTGTCCGCCTGCCCCAACCTGCCCTGAGCCCCGGCCCCGCCACGGGGACCTGTAGCCCGCAGGGACTAGAGCCAGCCCCGCGCCCGCAGCCCCGCCGACCAGACCTGTCCCGGGCAGCGCCCCACCCCTCGGCACCCCCGTTTTCCGGAACCTGTTGGGGTGGGGGCCAGACCGCGCGCAGGGGGCTCCGTGGAGGCGCCACGGAGACAGGCGGATGTCCCCTGGCCCTGACTCCGCTGCTGCACAAGGGAGAGAGACGGGGAGATGCTGGTGGCGCGCGGGCGGCGGTGGCCTGTGGGGTGTTTCCCCGGAGACGACGCCCAGGTCGCCACGGGCGCTACCGCGTGTCTTCACGCTCGTCATTGACACGCGATGGGGGCTCACACGTGTCACACACCTGCCCTCACCTCTGGCCTGCACCACTCTGCCTCCCTGAGACCCAGTCTCCCCTTTCCATGCCCATCTTTCCAGTTTGAACCCGGGCCTCAAATCCACCCAGAACTGCTCTTCCTCTCCTGGCTGGAGCAGCTCCTGTCCCCCCGGGAGCATTACCACGTCACCTGGTTCATGTCCTGGAGCCCCTGCGCAGGCTGCGCGCGGGCGGTGGCCGACTTCCTGCAGGAGCACCACACCGTGCAGCTGAGCGTCTTCGCCGCCCGCCTCTACTACCACTGGGAGCCCGAGTACCGGGAGGGGCTCCGCCGCCTGAGCCACCTGGGGGCCCAGGTGGACATCATGTCCTTCCAGCGTGAGGGTCGGGGGCAGGGCTGCGAGGGCCTGGGGTGGGGCGGGGTGGGGGGACTCTGGGGGTCCCCGGGGAGTGAGGGCCAGGGGCCTGGGAACCGAGGCCAGCCTGGTGGCTCCTGGCAGGGAGGACAGAGGCCCGAGGGGACCCATGCTGGGGGGGAGGGGCCTCCGGAGGCCCTGCCCACAGCTGCTCACCACACCCCTCTTCTCAGACTTCAGATACTGCTGGGACAACTTTGTGCACAACTGGGGCAGACGCTTCAGGCCTTGGGAAAATCTGCTGGAAAATTATGAGTCCCTGGTCTCAGAACTTGAGAGTTTCAGGTAAGGGCTCCTCAGGCCCTCCCCATGCCCAGCTCTTCCCCTCCCCTGACCTTCGCCTCCTGGGGTCCACTGCCCCCTCCTCCCCTGCCCTGGCCCTGCTCGCCTTCCTCCTGGGCAGCCCCCTTCACCCCACAAGGTCTGTCTCTGGCCTCCGGAGGGATCCCCTTAACCTGCCTCCTCCCTCTCCTGACATTCCTCAAATCTGGTTATTTACGGACCGTGAATGGGTCTGAATATCCAGGAGCCTGAACATCAGGGGATTCGAGAAACATCCTTCAAGGCTGTTTCCACTTAGAGATGCGGCTCCTGGAGAAGCGTCCTCAGCCTCCATCCCAGACTCCCCACTCAGGATGGAGAGACACGTGTGTCCCCCGGAGCCCAGGTCCCCGGGGGGTGGCCGGCTTCTCGGGTCTCCAAAGGGCGTCCACCTCCCTGGGGCCTTGCCTGGTTCCCCCACCCGATGCCGGTCTCCCCCGGTCCCTCTGCGGATCCCCATTTCCTTGTCTGATCGGTTCCAGAGAGGGGGCACGAGGGCCACCCTGGCACTGAGTCACCTCTGTGGAGGCTCGTCTCAAACACTGGGGTCCCCCAGCGGCTGGGTGAGGGCACAGTGCAGGAGCCAGGGGGCACATTCTGCCCACACTGAGGCCCAGGGCGCGCCGGGCTGGGCAGGTGCGGTGGGTCTGTGCTGGCTGATGCGCACCCGGCCCTGCCTGGCCTGCTTCCTCTCCAGACCTCGCTGCCCTGGAGCCCTCCCGCCCCGGCCACCATCACAGCCCACCTGGGTGGTGTTGGCATGGGGGCTCTGTCCCCTGAGGGGCCCCCAGCACACAGGGCCTGTCCATCAGGAGCCCAGACTCCTCGAGCCCCCCTCCGTCCCCAACATAGCTCCCTGCAGCCCACAGTGGAGGGAACTCAAGCAGGAGATTTGGGAGAGAGGGTCTGCATCAGGACCACATCCTTCCTGGGGTGCAGTGTTGGGGGAATTCCCAGGAACTCTAGGGCTCGGAACCCTGGGCTTTGTGAGACCCCCATAGGGGAGCGAGGTCTGGTGTGTTGCGTGTGCAGATGGTGTGCTGGGGACACATGCAGAACACCCCAGAGAACCTGGGCATGGAGTCTGGGAGTGGAGTCTGGAGGACAGAGGGACAGGCCTCGGGACAGAGGGGTGCTCAGGGCGCTGGCCGTCCCTCATGAGAAGGGTCCCACCTGACAATGAGGGGGCACTGAGCTGAGTCACCCAAGGGAGTGACCTGAGAGTGGGGCCTAAGCAGCCTGGCCTAGGGCGGGTGGGCAGGCCGCACCAGGGCGCCCAGCCTCGGGGTGGGGCACATCCCCTGGGGGGAAGCCCCAAGCCAGACGGGGTGTCTTTCCTCCAGGGAAATATCCCTGGAGGGGCTGTCACTGTGGTCAGCGGGGAGCTGAGGGAATGAGTGTGGGTGCAAGGGGAGGAGCTGGGAGAGGAGGGGAGGGGAGGGCAGGGGTCAGGGAGGCGGGGGAAGGGATTGGTGCGGGAGAAGAGTGGGTGTCCCAGGAGGCTGCCATGTCTGGCTCTCCCTGCTCTTGTCTGCAGACACAGGATGGACGAGGCCACCTTCTATCAGACCTTCGGGAATATGCATCGGCATAAGGAGACCCACCTGTGCTACGAGCTGGAGCTCTGGGAGGGAGGCTCCTGGGTCCCACTGACCAGGAACAAGGGCTTCCTGCAGAACAAGGTGCCCCCAGCCCCACCAGCAGTGGGGCCTCCACCTCATCAGGGTGCAGGCTTGGGTTGCACACTGGGTTGGCCCCCACGCCGCCTCTCATTGGGGTGTGGCTGTGGCTCTGCAGTCAGGTGGGGCCCTTTCTGGCAGTTTAGAGAGAGCGTCCCGGGCCTCGCATCACCTGTGTCTCCCCAGACACCACGCCTGTCCCTCCCCTCCTGCTAGGCCTCTGGGAAGGATAGGAAGTGGGCAGTGAGCAGTGGGCCTGGGCCCAGGCTGGGGGCCTCCTGCTGTGTGAGCTGGGGCCTTTGTAGAAAGCCTGAGTCTGGGTAACCTTGTCATGCAAACACTACCTGCCTGCTGAGCTGCCCCCACTACTCAGGTGCTTCCCACCATGCCTGGTCCTGCCCACAACCCCCCCCCCCCCTTCATAGCAACTGACCTAACTTGCCCTCCAGCCCTCCATCTGTGCAGGGGAGCCAGTCCACGCAGAATTGTTGTTCTTAAAACGGATCCTTTCTTGGATGTTGGACCGGAAGAGACACTACAGGGTCACCTGCTACATCTCCTGGAGCCCCTGTGTTAACTGTGCCTACGAGCTGGCTGCCTTCCTCCAGGAGAGGAGCCACATGCATCTGCGTGTCCTCGCTGCCCGCATATACAGTCTCCCGGGACACCAGGATGGTCTGCGGGCCCTGCAGCAGGCTGGGGCCCACCTCGCCATCATGAAGGCCCAGGGTCAGCGTGGGGCTGGGGGGTGGGCGGTGGCGGGAGGGGCCTGAGGAAGTCACTGGGAAGGGGTGGGCAGGATTAGAATCCCTGTGGAGAAAGGCCTTTGCCTGCCCAGCGGACCATGGCGTCTTTGGGGGGAGAGGAGGTGGGAGGTGAGGGCTGCTTCTAGAAAGGAGCATTGGGCTGGCTCAGATTCCACCTGGAACCAAAAGTAGGAGGGAGGAGCTAAGCCCCTGGGAAGGAAGGAAAGGAGACTGGACTCTGCTGGGAAAGCTGGCCCCTCTGGCCAGACATGGAGATGGGTGGGGCAGGGACTCCCCAGAGCTGAGCACACCATGGCCCTGTCCCCCACAGATTTTCAGCACTGCTGGGAGACCTTCGTGGACCACCAGGGAAGACCCTTTGAGCACTGGGAAGAGCTGGAGGGGAGGAGCGAGTGCCTGTCCGGAGAGCTGCTGAGAATCCTCCAGGTGGGGCGCCCCTCCCTGCTGCTCCTGCTCCCCCTGCCCTCCCCCTGCTGGGGTCCCAGTTGTCCCTTCTCACCTGGTGCCTCTGCCCTCCAGCTTCTCTCCCCTCCAGCCATCTCCTCCCTCCCCTTCACACCACCTTCTCACCCCAGGGCAGGAGAACTGAGGCTGCACTTGGGTCCCTCTGAGGAAGGCGGCACCACTGCTGAGCAGCAGGTGACACACTGTCAAGAAATGTGAACTGGGGCCTCCCCTGGTGGCGCAGAGGTTGAGCGCTGGGCTGTGAAGCTGTCCGCAGCCTCTGCAGCACCAGTTCGATCCCCGGCCACCGGGTCAGGGTCCCACATGGCGCGCAGACCTCTCCTGCCGCCCGCTGCTCCCCTCAGCAGTGTACTTCGGTCCTTCTGCCTGCTCTGCTCCCCGCTCTGGCTCTGGTGAATTCTCTCACCCTCCCGCGCTTCTGACTGTGCCCAGTGCTTGTATAAATAAATAAATAAATCTTTAAAAAAAAAAAAAAAAAATGTATGTGAACTGGCCCTCCACCACCATCTCCGCTTCATCCAGAAAAGTCAGCAAAGTCAATTTATTCATAAGAAAAACATATTAATTGAACAGATGGACTTTTCATTGAAATGTATCTGATATTCCCACTACGCAGCAGAGTGTCTATACCCAGTGCCATGTGAACAGGTTTTGATTTTTAGAGAAATAAATACTTGAATTGATTTGAAATCCTCTGGAATAAAGAGGGATGTGAACAACATTCCGCCAGCCTTTCCCCTGAAGCGTAGTATGAAGTTCACTGCAGTTAAACACTTGCAAAGAACCCAACACCTTTCTTTCTCGAGTGGACCTTCCTGGGGGGCCGTGGGCGCACTTTGGTTTCTCCCCCTCCTCAGCACTCCCCCACTTAAGTCCCTGCTTCTCCCCAGTCCTTTTTCCTCCCTGATTTCCTCCCACCTACTCGTCTCCGAGTGTGTCTTCCAAGCAGCAAGTAGCCAGACCCGGGCTCCGCTAACAGGCGGGAGGGAGAAGCCAGGAAGGGAGCCGGTCCTTACGACAGGTCACAGCCGCCAGCACTGCAAGGCCACCTCCCCCGGAGCATGACTGGAGCCGGGGTGGCACCGAGACCCGGAAGCACCTCCATGAAACAGGCGCGTGCCCTCCTGGATGCCCCTGACCCAGGCAGACCCTCTGCGCCAGGCAGGTGGCGTCAAATGGGGGGTTGTCAGCTGGGTGGGAAGCCGGTTCTCAGGACGCTTCACTGCAAATGACCCCCTCCTGCAGGCGCTCTTGGGCTCGCAGCACCCCCACCCTCCCGCCCTCCGCTGTGCTCATTCCCTTAGAGCCAGGAGCACCTACTCTGAGGCCAGGCCTCATCACCCCGCTTGCTGGTAAGAAGCCAACCCTCAGCGAGACTCCCTGGAGCTCTGTCTCGCGCTCACTTACAGGAACCCCACTGCTGTCGACCCGCTGGGGGCCCCAGCCTTTGTGGTATTCTTTTTTTGTTTTTATTTTATTTTACATATTTTTTACATTATTTTTCATTTTTGCACATTTGTGGTATTCCTGAGCAGGCTCTCAAGGACCCACAGCAGGTGACATTTGCATCCGTGCAAGTGTGTTTTCTGTGGCAGCCTCTGCCGCTGAACGCAGGTGAACTTACTGGAAAAAGGGAGGCTTTTACTCAGACACAGAGTAAGTCAGAGTAAATAAGGCCCCCTTCCCCTGTGCGCTGGACTGGACAGTCAATGACGGGTAAGATCGGGGGCAGACGAGATATAGCACTGACTAGTCGCATGTCTGTGACTCCTGACGACCTAAGACAGGCGCAGTCCCCGAGGGGTTTCATCTTTTGTTCTTTTGCTATCGCAATGGAAATCTTTGGCTTTCGATTCAGGCAAATGCCTGTAAGCCCAATCTAGGCACTAAGCCCGCAGTGAAAAAAAACCCTCCTTTACTTGAGAACATGGTTGCTGCAGAGCGTCATCAAGAAATAAGCCTGGGCCTCCCCGGTGGCGCAGCGGTTGAGCGCTGGGTTGCGAAGCAGCCCGCGGCCTCTGCGGTGCCAGTTCGATCCCCAGCTGCTCCCCGGCCACCAGAGGAGGGTCCCACATGGCACGCAGACCTCTCCTGCCGCCCGCTGCTCCCCTCAGCAGTGCACTTCGGTCCTTCTGCCTGCTCTGCTCCCCGCTCTGGCTCTGGTGAATTCTCTCACCCTCCCGTGCTTCTGACTGTACCCAGTGCTTGTACAAACAAAACAAACAAACAAACAAATAAATAAATAAAACATGCCTCTATAAAAAAAAAAAAAGAAAGAAGCCTAATGGACTTACCTACAAAGCAGTTTAACTATTAACCAGTTGGCCATTGTTCCTACAAAGAAGCCACCTAGTAACCACTCTATAATTATACTATTTTCTCAACTACTTTACCTTTTCTATACTGATGAAATCTTTTTCCTGGAAATGCATGACAAAGAAAATAATTTGTGCTAATGTTAATTTTTAAAGTAATCATAATACTTCTCACATGAGATAACACTACAAATATTAAAAAGCTTACATATATAAAAAATTGCTTATAATTACCTAACGTAAAATGTAAAACTAGTTGAATATTATAAAATCTCATAGGTTGTAGCCTTGGAAACAAAACAAGTTAAATTAGCTTAAAGAATGTTGGTCTGTGTAATCATTACTTGCAGATTGTTTTTTGTACTTTAGTATGAACGCTGCACACGTCTACATGAAAAATGAAATAGAATATCTTGTATTAAGTAATCATATATCACTAAGTAATAATTAACTTTGATGAAATATTGTATTGTTAAAAAAGTATAAAAGTGTATGATGATTTTGAGCACATTACATTCAGATCTTCACTCTTGAAGTGTGTCTGTCTGTCATTTACGTGCCGAATCCTTGACCATCCTGCACAGTTTCTCATCCCTGGGACGGCCTTGCCAGTCCACCGCTGCGCTGGTCCGCAGCAGTTTTCTGCTGGTTTGTCGCCAGCTTCCCGCCCCCACTCCTTCGTGCTGCCCGAAAAAGGGGGCATTTTCAGGCCTCCTCTTGCCCCTGCTCCCAGCAACAGCGCCACAGCCCACAGCCTCCTCCTCGAGCCCTCTCCTCTCCGCTGGAGCTCACACCCTGTCTGGCTCCCTCGGGCCTCGGCCGGTTCCCTTGTCCTCCCCTCTCTGGGATCTGGTCCTCTCGGTGTCTCCCAGTCTCCCCAGGAGACTCGGCCTGCCCAGGGGCAGAGCCTGCGTCTGCAGTCCCGCTGCTCCTCCGGGCTGGACACTGGGTGGACACCAGCTTCCTACTGGACATCTGCCCTGGACGTCCCAAGGGGAACGTGCACTTAACCGTGCTGAACAGACCTCCTTGTGGGGAACTGTCCATGCTTGGCTACCTCAGAGACTATCCTGTACAGTATGTGTGCCTAGTGTCTGTGGTAGCATTTCGGGGGAAGCAGTTGTATACACAAAAACAACATGGGTGGGGGGCGGGGAAAGGAGGGTTTGGAGTCAAAATAAGGGGGTTGTAATTGTAAGGGGAATATAAAAATAAAATTTAAATAATAAAAAAAGAAAATGAGATTAAACAGGAAAAAAAATATTCATTTGACAAAAAAAAAAAAAAAACCAACCATGGCAGGGGGCCTCCCCGGTGGCGCAGTGGGTTGAGAGCAGCACTGTGAAGCTGCCCGCAGCCTCCACGGTGCCGGTTCGATTCCCGGCCGGCCAGGGAGATTCCCACATGGCATGGCAGACCTCTCCTGTCTCACCACTGCTCCCCTCAGCAGTGTATTTCGGTCCCTCTTCCTGTTCTGCTCCCCACTCTGTCTCTGGTGGATTCTCTCACCCTCCCGTGCCTCTGGCCTGTACCCCACTGCTTGTATAAATAAATCTTTAAAAAAAAACATGGGGGGCCTCCCTGATGGCACAAAGAGTTAAGACACAACCTATGAAGCTATCTGCATCCACTGCAGCACAAGTCCGATCCCCGGCCAGGGAGCTACCCACATGGTGCAGCAGACCTCTCCTGACCCACCCGCTGCTCCCCTCAGCAGTGTATTTCATCAGTCTGCCTGTTCTGTTCCCCACTCTGTCTCTGGTGAATCCTCTCACCCCCCACATCTCTGTCCTGTACCCCAGCTCTTGTATGCATAAGTAAATAAATTTTTTTTTTTTAAGAAATGTAAAGGACTACTGAGAAAAAAATTCTTGATCTATTAGAGATCTATTAGATAGAGAAGGTCAATTTGTGGAATTTTAAATGTTTGCTTTTTAAAAAATCTAGAACTGGGCCTCCCCGGTGGCGCAGTGGTTGAGTGCTGGGTTGCGAAGGTGCCTGCAGCCTCTGCAGCGCCGGTTCGATCCCCGGCTGCCGGGCGAGGGTCCCACATGGCGCGCAGACCTCTCCTGCCGCCCGCTGCTCCCCTCAGCAGTGTACTTCGGTCCCTCTGCCTGCTCTGCTCCCCGCTCTGGCTCTGGTGAATTCTCTCACCCTCCCACGCTTCTGACTGTACCCAGTGCTTGCATAAATAAATAAATAAATTAAAAAAAAAAATCTAGAACTGATAATGACTGTACAAACAAAATAGCAGGATTCTGGGTGACCCTATTTGATCAGGCTTCATGATTTAGAAGGAAATTATGTCTGTGGTTAAAAGCTATTATCTGGGCCATCCCTGGTGGTGCAGGTGGTTGAGCGCCGCGCTGTGAAGCTGTCCGCAGCCTCTGCAGCACAGGTTCCATCCCAGCCAGCCGGCGAGGGTCCCACATGGTGTGGCAGACCTCTCCTGTCTCGCCTGCTGCTCCCCTCAGCAGTGTATTTCATTAGTCTGCCTGTTCTGTTCCCCGCTCTGTCTCTGGTGAATTCTCTCACCCTCCCGCGCATCTGGCCTGTCCCCGGTTCTTGTATGGATAAATAAAATAAATCTTTTAAAAAAAACTATTAAAAAAGATATTATCTGCTTTCCTCATCCCTTTAACAATTAATTTGTGAACTGAGGTTTATGTTTAGTTCAGCAGCATTTATGTTACAAGTCTCCAAAACAGTGGCACCAATTTTCCTTAAATGTAACAGCACCCAATTTTTAGTAGCAATTCTATTTTCTAAAGATTAGCAATTTACATCACAAAATATTTCCACTATCTTTGTTTTATACTTTCTGCTCACCCTTTGCCACAATATCTGCAAAAAACTGAATGTTCTTTACCCCTTCTTACTCAAAGGATTTTCCTCCAACCTCATTTTTTTTTAGATTTTTTTTATTTATACAAGAGCTGGAGTACAGGCCAGAGGTGCGGGAGGGGGAGAGAATTCACCAGAGACAGAGTTGAAATGAAGACACTGCTGAAGG